TGAATGCTACTCTGCCTGGGCTCTAATTTTGCATTCTAAGCAATAATTTAACAACCTTTGAGTTACTCCAATTGTAATACTTTTGAAAGAATTTGATTACCTCTAGAGCAGAAAACGATATTATTAAATTCAATTGAACATGCGAAAGCTTTTGTTGTTTCGTATATATTTTGAGCAATAACAATTTGTACCAACTTTTTATTACCACATTGTTTCTTACTAAAAACTAATTCCTGTAATTGAAAACATTGCAATTATATATTTTAACTACGTAAAGTACGTGTCGCGTATTTCGATTATCAGCACCTAACAAATGGACCTTCGAGCCGGAAGAATCAGGTCGTTCAGCATGAATCCATCCGCCTATGCAAGACGGCCCGAAAATGGCAAGTTTCAATAGAATTTATTTTATTTTGAATACTATTTTACAGTCTGAGATACTTGAGATCGAGGACACGTAATATTCAGTTGTAGCTTGATACAGCTAAAGCCTTAAAATATGTCACTTGAAAAATAAATCATCAAGGTCTTCTTTTTATGCAATAGGTTGGTGATACACCGCACCTTGTTTTATTTTACAAAATATTCATCTTTTCCACTTTCACCTGTTGTTAATTTTCATACTATAAACAATTAAGAATGAGCGGCGAAAACAAAACTTCAACGAATAAAAAATGCAAATGAAGACTAACAATGAACATGGAAATTTCACATTACTGACAACTCATCGGTCTTGTAATTATATTTTCGAAGTGGCCGCATTTTAACTTCAACCCATTTAATCACTGCTTTCTGAGAGATTGATTGATTGCTGATGAAACTGCTAGCTTTATACTGCATGTTCCCAAAATAAAACCCACAACTGCTTTACATTTTTCATCATTAAATTGTTCAAATAGTAGGATTCAAATACAGCTACCAATTATTTTGCAACAAATAAAATTGTTATATGTATATAAAAACAATGTTTCAACACATTAAATATGGACGAAACAACGTGCTAGGTGCTTCGCCTATTTACTTTAATTAAATGTTGTTTATGTTCTGGATTAAGACATTTTTTTCTAAAAACCTGCTAGATAATTGCCTGGGATGCAAAAGTACCAACTCAACACAAAATGCATAAAAATTAACCACTGAACAAGCTGAAAATATTAAATGTTTATGTTTCTTCTTTACTGCAACTCCGTCACTGGATCACAAGAGCGAAGACGTATATTTGCACTACGTGCTTACCGAAATTTATGTCCTAATGGTCAGCTTGTCGTGCTTCATTATGGTTTATGAATAGGTAGTACCCTAGAGTTATGGCGTTTGCCATATGCCGCATTACAATGGCAGTCCTTTAAGCCAGTACTGCGGCTGTAATCACCTCATATTCTTTTATTATGCGCCTGAAACCGTAATGATTCCGAGATAAATGTTGGATGTTGCTTGGTACTGCGTGGAACCTATCTGATTTTGATTCTCGAGGGCGTACTGCGGTACTAGAGATGCTTTTGTGCTATTAGTTTGAACGTGATAGAAAAATAAGTCACTGCCTTGACCAGACTTTAAAACAAGAGCCTGCAGAATTGACGTAATATTATAGACAATAGAGGCAATGATGTTTTGAAAAACGATGTTTGTTTCATGCGGCCTAAAGTGTTTAGAAAATCATATCAAAACGTATTGTTTATTTCCAAATATGCATGCTAATCTTCTTGCCATGACATTTCTAAATTTGAAACGGGCTAATATTATAACTCTTCAATTTTTAAGTCAATATTTTCGCCAACTATTCGCTAACTATTCTTAAAACTGTTGTTTAACAGTTTACCAAAAGATATTAAAAATATAAAAAAAGTAAGAGCGATTGTTAAAGAAAATTTGGAGCTTTTTGGAGGCTCATCGAAATAGAAGGCCAAATTTGTAAATCTGATTCCAGAATATGGAATAAAATTACATGGAGCGTATACTGTTTAAAACTGCCTGTTTTTTTAATTTACCTATTTCTGTTATCTCAAAACAAGACACATACGAGCATCACGCCTTTAATTTTTTCTGAAAATTTTGTCTATTATATGAGTTTTTTTTCATCATCTGTAATAATAAAACGAATGTATTATAAATGTAATTCAATGAAAAATTACTGGGTGATGTTTAAATTTATATACACTGCGCGCCCCAAACTTAAATTGTGTGCTTAAATACTGTCATATTTTCTTGGTCAAAGTTTAAATCTCTCTGAGGGTTCCCAGGTTTCCAAGGGGAAAAATACGATGTTCTAGCCCCATGTCTTCAGAGTAGTTTATATCTATCGTCTGTTGAATAAAGAGATATTCCTTTTTTTAATAACCGGTTACGTTTTCCTCGCGTACTTACTTAGGATTGATTTAAATATTTCATCAAAGTATCTTTGTTTTATTTTTCTATTTGTGTTGTGGCTTTATAGAGTCAATGCTAAAGACTATAAAAATACCTTATCTATAAGCAAGCAAGTCTCTTCTCTTTGCGGGACCATATAAAAATATAAAAATGGTTTTCCCTTTCCCCATAAGAACGCGTTCGAACTCTATTATACGCTAACTACCTAATGTTACTTGTTTTACCTAATTCTTCGCCAACGCTTTAATAGCAATTTAATAAAATCACGCCCCCCATTTTTAAATTAAATTATAATAATGAAATCACATATATTTGAAGTAACGGATCTTGCGTTCCTGGGAATGTGTATAGTCCGGTTTCCTAACAGACTTGTGATGTTGCACTGCATTATGTATCTTGCACATTTATAACTGCCGCTCATTTAAATAGAATGATGGCAACTTCCAGTTCTCAGTAGTTTTTCCTCTAACATACACCTTGCTTATCAAGGTTTTGCGGGCATTTAACAGAAAGCAAACGCGTCTGGTTCTGTATTTTTTCAAAAATTATCTCCAAATTATTCAAAATAGTGTCATATTCTACTGACAATTCCCATAACATTTTAAATGTTTCTTTGGCAAGATCAAGACAATAAATATAATAGATCTATGGCATACTTCGATGTTTTCAAATATTTAGTTAAGTCATTGGTGTAGGTAGATCAAAATATTTGATTAGCATAAAGGTGGCTGAACTTCTCCTGCTTAGACTTACAAAGCATGCCGGCCAATATTAATAAAAATAATTGATTAAACAATTGCCTGCTTAAAATCTCCTGTAGTTACATAATCCAACCAACAACATGCAGGTGTTCAAATGTATCTGGGCAATTTTTTATTGTCTTTAAAATCGTGTTCTTTTGTTTCCAAGTCATGGGCGCTCTTAAAGGATTATCAATTAGTAGTTAAAAATTTTTTTTTTGGATTCCACTTAGACAAAGTTGTAGAATTGCTATTGAAATCGGCCACTGTGCAAACGTGCCACTTTAAAGCATTAAAATTTCATTCTATTCAATTACCTAGATTACTTCCTATTCTTCGAACTGATTTTTGTTCCCACAGGGAAGCCAAGAAGTTTTTTCTGAGCTTATGTCTTGAATAAATTTACAAGTGATTTAACTCCGATCGAATAACGGAACAGCCATTATTGACCAGATACTATGAAACGGCTTTAAAACAGATCAGCATGCTTTCCATTCATCTATTCAACTCATGCATTTTATCGAAAACTAACGGATAATCACTTCTATTTGACTTTGATTTGTAAAAGTTATAGACCTACAGCAAAGAGCATTACAAAGTAAACTGGCTTTCTGTTTCAAAGAGAATAGTTTATTTGAAAATTGGTTGATATGCAGAAAAGATGCTTTGGAATCACTTTGTTCAGAAATTGTCTGTGTCTAAACCAATGTAATGGTTTACTCAATAGTGAGTGAAAATATTAATGACAATAAACAGTTAATGTGACATATTTATTTAGCAATTATAAGTAAAATAAACGTAAAGACAACACAGTGGCGCAGCTTGGGGGGGGGCAAGGGGGGCATCATGCTCCGGGCGCTACTCACAAAAGGGTGTCAAATGGTCGGTAAAACAAAAAAATTCTAGATAATTTTTATCTTATTATAATTGATTTCTGGAAAATATATTTTAAATTTAGTGCCGGCGTAATATATAATATAATAAATATTGCGCCGGCACTAAATTTAAAATATATTTTCCAGAAATCAATTATAATAAGATAATAATTATCCAGCAATTTTGTGTTTAAGCATGATTTACCCCGGCAGAAAACGATAACACAAAACGAAATGTGGTACTTGATTTATTTATTAATCTTTGAGTAAATTTAACATATTTATAGTTTTGCGAATTGGGGGGGTGGGCGAAAAAGGTTTGTGCCCCGGGCGCGAGCTAGCCTCGCTACGCCACTGAGACAACAAAAGAAGTAGGTAAATCCTCATTTACGTAAATTAAAGAAAGTGGAAAAGTAGTCTTGACCGACTAGATACAAACCTTGACTTGGCAAATGTATATGCTTCTTCAAGGCTTAGCTTCTGTTTCCTTCCAGGAAGAAAAACTTGCGCCATTAGTGAACATCACTAATCGATCTGCTCATTATAATGTCACTTAAAGACTTAATGATGTTGTTTATTTTACTTTATATGCAATATAGGAACTGTTATAGTATAAATATAGTTAAATTTCATGTTGAAAACAAACACGTTCACTTCAACTATGAAGAACTCAATTCGTTGCCGACATGAAGCAGGACTTTGCAATGTTCAGAAAAACTAAACCCTAAACTAGAATTTTCAGATATTTCGAGCGCTTCGTTCATAAATGCAGAATTTTTTGCAATTACAAATATTTTCTAATAACTAATTTTGTGGAAGCAAAACAGTGGTCAATAATAAGACGATTATCGAATTCACCCAAATCCAACTCAAAGTCGATTTAAACTTTGAAATCGACTTTTGTTGACTACTGCACAACTATAATTTAATGAATAATGAGGATTTGTACCATTTGAGCCAATTGTACATTGTAATTACAATTATTTTCACTATTATTCCGAATTTTTTTATGTTTCAGGTCCACGCAATGGCCTTTCACTTCAGAGTGTTGCTTTCTATCCTGATTTTCCTGCCGTGGATACAATGTAAAGGTAAGCTATTTAGTTTGTCAAAAATTTTGCAGGAAATCGTAAATTCAGTTCCAAATTCGTTTCAATTAATGCAGAAACTGCCTTGAGGCATTGCAGTGTAAAAAGAGTTCACACACAGAACATTTTATATTCAAATGAAGATAACTGTGACTCTTTGCGAAATACTTAATTAGTTAAGTTATAATTTTATGTCTTCTCCTTCAGTTTTTTGAAACGGCAGGTCAACCACAGAAGAATTATAATTACTGGTTTGCTTACATCTTTTTGTCAATTAAATCTCTAACTTGTACCTGATTAAACATAAGCTAATCGCAACTTGAGAGACAGAAAAGAATGAAAAAGTGTGAGAACATCTAAAATTAACTAATTAAGTTATGTTGTGTTTGATAAAACAAAACAAGCTCCCCTACCAAACTCATTCACTCATTCAGAAGCAAATGCCAAATTTGGCATAAACAATTTTTAAATTTTGATAATGACAAAGCATAAGAATGAATAGAACATAGTTCTGAAGATAGTATTTTGTACGTTTTATCACTTTAGACGTAGACAAGATAGTTTTACTTTTTTCATTTTAGGATTCGTGGCTGTTTCATAAATAATTCCGATTACTAATTAAATAATGCTGTGGTGAAACTGAAACAATACACAATAGTATAGGCATGCGTTGTGACAAAAAAATTGTTTAGACATCCAGCATTTTTCAATACAGCCACATCTACTTCTACTAGTAACCTTTTCTAACACTCGTTAGAACCTCCTGCTTTGGACACTCTGCAAATGTTATATATGCAATAAATAAACCTGATGCACAGCATCTTTGTGAATATATCATCATTTTTGCTAAGCACCTTAACACGGTAATAGTTCTGATAATTTTATTCATCAATAAATATTTAGCAGGATATAAAATTATTTATAGTTGAGGATACTCACACTAAATATGTATGTGTATAGTGAATTAAGGAAGAGCTTTTAAAGGAGTTTTTGAACCTATTGCTTAACTTTTATTTGTCAATGAAAAATCTATTAATATTTTTGTTTGATTTCTGGTTTCAATTATGTATGCAAGCATCCTTGAAAAATGTTTTACATTGCATTTAAAAAGAAATAGCCGAAAGTGCTATCAATTAGTTAGAGAAAACAGATGCAAAAGAGATTCAACCAACAGGGTACAGTTTGTTTTTGTATTATAAAACATATAATAATAGAAAACACACACCATTTTGAAAAGTTTTTGGCAAAGTTTGTGTATAATTAAAGATGATCTTGCTTGTTGAAGATGGCTATTTGAACTCAAAAACGTTCATTTTAGTTATGTACTTCCGTTTTATTTTGAGTGGTTACTCTAATCTAATATTGGAACGATAATTTCTTAAACATTATTGTTTTATATGCAATATCGTTTATAAGCCGACAAGAAGTAAATCTAACTAAGTAGATAATTTTTTGGACCTGAATTTTGGTGCCAAAATATCATCGAAAAAATATCTTAAAATTACTCTCAAGATCTTTATTCGTAGAATCAATGTCCTAAGTGCATCGTTTGCACTTTGCAAGGTAATACCGTAATAGCTATTAAAAGAAACGAATTTACATGTTTTGCTTGAGCGTTTTTTGAATATAAAGCTTTGAGGACTACTAAAGCAAACGTGGTCTAGAGAAGAAATTGGAATAAAAAATGATGCATTCCAGATGCATTGTACCCCTAAAAATATTCTTAGACAGCAATAAAACATGATAAATTATAATTTCGAATAATGATTAAAAACACAACGGCTTTCTGCGAAAATTATATAATTATATTCTCTCTTATGAAACATCTAGTAACAACATTTCCGACAACTCAGGGACCGGAATTGTCTAAGGAAAATGTACAAATTGTCGACATAGTGTTATAATGAGAAAAAATTTTAATGGCTTCATCTCTAGGTCAGACGAATCAACATATTATTATCGATGAGAACAGATTATCTTGTGAGAATTGAATTGGTGTTTAATATTCAGATGCATAATTTCCCGTAATAAGTCACTAATTTATAGACGAGTTGCAATTAGAGACAGGCGCTTTAAACTAACTGTCCAGACCGAAGTTCCTGAAGAAAACGTTAATAAATTGAACTAATTTAAATTTATCTATGCTTGGCACCGAACAAAAACGGGAAAAGTTTTAATATAGACGGTTTGCTACCTGATTTATTTCCCATTGAAATCGCACTACTTTCCAATTAAGATTTATAACCAATTAATTAAAACAAAATTAAGCGCATCACTATATTTAGCTCGGTTTACGCTAGTTACTAGTTGCTTCTTAATTTAACTGCGCCGTATACCATTTAAGATTCCATCTTCAACATTAGAGATAGCATTAAGTCATAAATAAGGTAGCCAGCCCTCGTAAAATAGAGATATGGTACTGCAATTATTCCACAAGATTATTAACATTTATAAGAGAGGGAGTGTCCCATATTTTACTTATCTTTACTTGCGTGGATATCTTAGCGGAGGCAATCCAGTGGGTTGCGTACCAGAAGTACTAAGGCGAAGTAGAAAAAGAGTTTGCGTGTCTAACATATAAAACTTCAAGTTTACCTAGTTTTAAAAGAGGTCTTCAAATGAAACAATTTGAATATTGACTGACTTTCCTAATTTATGTGTTGTACTATTATAGTTTAGTATATTCATAAATATTTTTTTTAATATAGTTTATGTTTTATATAGTATATGTTTATTTTGTTAAATTATTGACTTTTGAAATCGACCGCAAGTTGATAATTTAAGCGGTTTTATGTTTCGTTAGATCATGAAATCTTCTATTAAATAGTGAAATTATGCTCTTACTTTTAGCAAAATTCCGAAGTTTTTGCAAAACCGCTGCTTAATAATCTTAATTTGCATTTGAATAATTTTACATCCTTATATCGCAATCTTAAACCAATGGATTTCTGATCCAATGGCATCCATCGACCAACTGACCACTTTTAAAAATAGCAAGAACTGGTAATGTGGGTTTTAAAGCCTTCTTGCTTTATGGCCGACGTCTAAAATAGCCTTTTATTCATACTTACGAAGAGATATCGGGAAAATTATTTTCGCAAGTTTGCGAACAACATTCAGTGAGAATATTGCAATCCGCTTTGTTGGAGCCTAAAGGCTTCTTTAAGTGTGTAATATGATAACTTTTTGCTTCCTTCTGCTATTTCTTTTTGTTTATTGGTGACTGAGTTTCTAGTACTCGCTTAATTTATCTGGTATTAGAAATAGAGCATGAAAGGCATTACTCATTAAACCAAAAAAAATAATCGCGAGATGGTAGGCGGTAACGACTTAGTAACAAGCACTCAGAAGGAATAACATTGAACTCCTTAAGTATTGATTACTCATCGAAAAATATTACATTCGGATGTCGTGCCTAAGTGTTAACGCCTTAGTTTTCCTACGCAACCGTTCTTTCAATATGCAAAAATTCAAGTATGGTGTAGTTGCAATTATGGTAATTGGGTGGGCATTAACATTTAAGAAACAAGTGATCGTAGAAAGTAAATTTTACCATAACTCAAGGTTCACAGCATAAAAATCGAACTGTTAGCGAAGAGATTGAATGTTGTCAAAGCACTATACCTAAGGTATTTCTGAAAAGGTGTGCAATTTTGTACCACAGCTATCAATATGCGGAAAAATAGAGGAATGGCTAAGAAAAGATATTCTTCTTCACAGTCTTTAAGTGTGTTTTTTGCCAAACTCAATGACTTCACTGTAGGAACATGAACTTTCAGTTCTAGTTAGAAACGAAAGTTTCTAAGCTTCCTAAGCTTCCGGAGCACATCATTTCAAGTTTCTCTCTAAACATTTGCTTATTACTTCCTTATCACATTCTTTTCCGCGTCTTACTTTAAATCATTTATTTTAAAACACGCAAGTATTCTGATTTCGTCGTTTGAAGATATTTTTTTACCTTTTTAATTAAGCTGATATAAGTTTATTCTCTGTTCTGAAAAATTACGTTTAGTGTTATTCAGATTATTGGAAAGACTTTTCAGAGTGTTATTTTGAAGGGAAAAACATTTTCGATTAATTAGAGTTAGCAGTATTTAAAAAAGCTCTAAAAAATATACTAAATGCTATGCTGAGTTGATTAACATAAACTGCTCTTCAAAATAGAAAAATAGACGTTGCACGTCCAAATTTCGATCAATTTTGGAACTTGACAAATTCTGGTTGCTGAAGGTGATTTGATTCATGTTTGAAGCGTTGTTTAGTGCAATTCTTTTTCGGTTAATGCGAGTTGGTGCAATAAATGAGTGGTTCCGATAACGTAGATAGTCAATAAAAAGTAAACCATTTTATTTATAAACATATAAGTTTCGTCGCCCAATTGAAATTGGTAACAATTGTATAAAATAATGTTGAAAATAATCACCCAAGACAGCTTGCACATCTTCGAGATTTTTCAAAACCTCATTAAAGGCACGATTTAAAAGTCATTATGTATTTGTACTATGATGCATTTTTGAGCAGTTTGCTCGGCATTTTAATAGCAAAAGCCATTTTCCTTATTAGTTAGAAAACGTATCATTCCTTGGAAGTTTGTACTTTATTAGGTCTGTCTCAATATCAATTCTAGATTTTTAGCGGCCTGAGAAAGCAATTAAAAAGAAACCAGGAAGCCCGTAAAGACTATAGTTTAAGAACCTTTTGTTCTAAAGGTATTAATTGTCTTCAATAAATAAGATTTATTTTCCAGGTCTATGCGAAGTGGAGAATGGGTCATCAAACATAATTGTAGATATCGAGGAAAGCAGAGGATCATGTAAGTAAATGAAATATTTTCATGTAAGATCAACTGAAAATGACACAGTTGATAATTTTGTAATATTAATTAAAATAATACTGCACTTCCCACGATATATTACTAATTAGTTTCAAATGAGGGCAATCCCACAGCTATACATCTTCTTCTTCGGTCACACCAAGTTAAGGTCGTACTTCGCAAAAAAGCTGTTTAAGAAAATTGGTTGCCAAATATACTAAGGCTTATATCCCCAATAATAGCTGCCTATTACCTAATTTGTAAACAGTTTTTAAAATATCATTAGTACCTAATGATGGTGTTGAAAAGTCGACAATTATGCCCAAGTAGATGGGAACAAATTTAACGCTAAATTAAAATAGTATTGAGAAATGTCAAGGGTAGAACGTTTTACCAGTTTAATTAAATGAGAAGAGCTCGAAGCGTTGTAGACGTTTGAACTGGTTATTAGAAGAACAGTATTATGCTAAACAGAACATATATTTAGTAGCACATTGCTAAGGGAATGGAGTATTTTAAGCTATTGTGGAAATGTGGGCCGTAACGTTAAATCAAGAAAAAAAACCGATACTTCATATATGAAAAATATGAGGAGATTAGACCAGTATGAAGTTTACACTTTTAATTAACAGATATTTATTGTTACTACTACTTCTACTAATATAAACCCAAATAACATATTCATTCAGAATAAAATAATGAATGAAATATGAATGTATTTTAAAACCTTTTATTAATTCGATTATTAATTTTTAAGAAACGACAATAATAAAACTGTAAAAAACTTTTTTAAATGAAAAATCTTGGTCGGAACTTCTCAGTTTTTCTTTCTTTGTTATGTGACGAAATTAACTAATGTCCCGAACTACTTAAAATGTTATTAGATTAATACCACAATCTACAAAGAAATAAAGTAATAATTTACGTATTTGCAGCTGTTAGCCAAGAAACAACACCAAAAGATTTGCCGATAGTTGGAGAGCCAAATGTGGACATATTTCTGGATTTATCATTTCCTAAAGGTCCTCCACTGTTCTTCCTCAATGAGAAGAAATTACAATTACTAGCACCCATAGACCGAGATGAAAATAACTTATCTCATATAGTATTTCAGGTAATAATTAATTTAATATAATCTACTTACGGGACCCAAGCCCACAATATTCAGCAGTGTTGTTAAATAATCCATAAAAATCGAAATGTTATTAGAAAGTATCTGAGTTTCCTATGCACGCGAATGAGAGTGAATCGTTAGTAAAAGCTAACGAATAACGAAAGAGATTTAAATATTCGAAATGAAAGGTGCGATTTTAATCGATTAATTTAATAATTTAATTAGTAAATTCTTGTAATAACTTGATTTTATGTATAGCCTTGTATGGCTAATTACAAAAAGGCATGAAACGTATTTGTGAAATGAACTTTTACAGCAATAATACTAATCTTTATTCATACATTGTATGGTAGCTATGTCTGCGAGCTTATTTGTATAGGTATTGTAATTTTTTGTAACCCGAGCTTTGCTCTCAGCTAAATTTATGCGTCATTTTTATTTCATGTCTTACTTCGTTCTTTGACTACTTTTTGTTAACAATATTCTCCATTCTAATGCATATTGCTTGTTAAATTTCTTCACTGAAGACACAAAATTTTATAACAATTTTCGTTCAGTCTATGTTCATGGATGTTCAACCCCTTGTAAATTTTTGGACAATATTTAACCTTTCAGGTTTTATTCGACTTTAACTAAAGCCATTATGTTATTTTCCATATTTAGAAGGATATTCACAAAAAAAATACAGGGTGCCGTCCGATCCATCTCACCATTGACCCGATATTTCGAAAAACATAACTTTTTGAGAAATTTTGCCATCAGAAATATGGGGTTTGCATTTAAAAAAGAAAGTTAGGTTACAGTTTTCGTACACCCTGTATAGCTAGAGGGCTAAATGTGTTTGACATCCTTTCGGCACTACTCGATCTCACGAGAAACAAAATTTGAAGTTTCTACAACGACTGTAATTTGGAAAACTTCTAAAACGCCGTCTACGTAAATCACCATGTATATGTATTCGCTCTTTATCAATAGTAAATTTTGTAATACAGTATTTGAGCAAAAATGTCTATTTTGTTACATAAAACATGCAATAAACACAGTTCTATATTATTTATGCTATTAAAATGACTGGATTTTCCAAACAGATGTGTATAGCAGTTTTCAACACTGCATAACATTCAAGAAACTATTCTGTTAAGCAAAAGAGGAGTTGAATTTAGCACAGCTTTAAATTTACCGGAAGCTGGATACCCCTTTTAACATTAAAAAATATCAGTAAAATATATTTTGAGAAAGTACATAAAGTGCTCAGTAAAACCATTTACATTTTGCTATTAAAATGTCTACAGTGTATGCATGGTTATTATTACTCAGTCACAACGATAAATATAAGCAATTAAAACAATAAGCTACTAACAGGCTACATTTTTAATTTTAGTAACTGATTACTCAACTATCACACGTTCGCAAAAGTTACACTATTACTTACCGTAAAATCTGCTAACCCACTTTTTACAAAATTGTTTATGTAAGAGGCATTAGTTTAATAATATTAGCTTATACTGATACTTACTGCAATAATGTAGATGGATTTTCAGTTTCCACTGTTTTAATTGAATAAGCCATTAAAAAGATGGTGTGATTTATTACCTCCTTTGTACAAATACTGAATACTGCTGATTAGAGTCTTGATAATTTTTAAATTAAATTCGAAATTAAAGTTGAAAGCAATCATATAAATTGTAACTTCATTTATCTTATTTCGGTTCGATTTGGAAACCACATCGAATGAAAGTTTCCGAGTAGCTTCAAATTTGTCACAATGTTGTAAATTTTTACTAGGTAATATTGACCATTCTATAGTCATTTGTGAAATTCAAGTTAACAACAAAGATACTGTACACTTTTAGGAATGTATTTCTTCACATTTTTATTTCTTTGAACATTTAACGGAATTTGTGATTCTCGTTGCTTAACTCATTTACATCCGTTTTTGAAATAGCACCTAAATTTTATTTAATTTTGCAGTTGATATGTACCATAAAATCAACTCATAAAGTTAAGTCAATTCCTGTGATAGTAAGACTGACTGATATTAACGATAATAGTCCTCAATTTGTCGGAGTTCCATATGAGACCAGCATATCAGAGGTACGCATTTAAACTTTCGATTTTTCGAAGTTTTATTCACTTACCATTTTGCTAGTTAACACCGATTGGAACAACGATATATCAAAACATAAATGCCAAAGATAAAGACACTGGAGTGAATGGACAAGTAGAATATTCGATAATAAAAGGTAAGTGTCCAGTTTAAGTCAGTTAGTCCATACTGATCAATGCTATTTAAGGTTCAAATTTCATTCCTGACGAAGGAACTGGGAAGCAGAGAATTCGAAGTGAGGATGGTTATGGATATTTTGCCATTAATTACCCTCATCAAGGGCAAGTCACAGTTAACAGAACTCTGGACTTCGAGAAAATTCAACGATATTACGTAACAATTTTAGCAACGGTAAGCAAATACCTCAATTAAGTATTTCATCAAACAAAGTACCACATTTTGTATTTACCCATTGGTATATAAAAATCAGGCAGGCGGCACGTTGATAACGTTGGGTCAATAATTCTTGCATACGTCTTTGAAACTGCGTACAGTTGGAGAATGGCCTTATGTAAATCCAATATTCGTTATAAATGCTTGTATATTTTGGAATAAACTATGTCACTATATTTACCGGGTCTATTCGTATTATTTAATCCAATTAACGAATAATAAAGTAAACTTACCAAGAATTATATCTATTGCATAACAGATCCAATTAAAATTTAAACAGTATACAACTAGGCCTTATTTCATAAAATGTGGGAACGTATTATATTGAATTGCGAAAAGTCAATTATTTCTTTTGAGGAGCACTTCAAGCTCTAATCTCACAACAATGCAATGTTTTATTTAACCGATTATTCGGTGCGAAAATTTTAAATAATGGCTAACCTGAAGAGTGCACAAATTTCTTATGATGGTTGATGGAATGCGTATTTACTTTTCATTGATGTTGTTCTTGGAGTCTATTTTGCAATAAAAGATTTCTAAGCACCCAGTAAGGTCATAGATTTTTTAGTTGCTTCCAGCAAATGTTAAGACTTTTTTGTGAAATTTTAAAAAGTAATTGCGATTATAACGTTCAATATCAATTGTAGTGGTTGCGGAAGCTTCGGTTTTTTATTCTGAATATTTATTACTGAACTGTTTCGATCCTGAACTTGAAAACTAACTACCAAGTGAGATAAATTGATTTAGTACTGTTATATGACTACAAAACTATTCTTTGAATTAAATACATTTTGTCTGTAGTAAATAACATTAATTTTTTTAACACGTAATTGGCGATAACTTGGATATGTCTTTTTTGAACTGTGCCCGTTTTTGCCGTTTGCAAGTGAAATGGTTCATTTTCGTACTAATAACCTACATAAAAATGTATCTAATTTAAGATAAAATTACAAGAAAATTACTTAACTTTATATTTCGCTTTTGTGACTATTGCAGTATTCCTTAGCACTATGTTTTTCAATTTTTGTCGCTTGACTGCATTTCTCACGCGCGTTCAACATATTCCTCTTTAGTGTTTTTAGGCATCACATCAAGACTTATAATTGTATATTCAGGGTGATTCAAAATTGCCTTTATTCCCTTTAAGGGCTATGGGGGCTCACTTAGAGAGTTTTTTTAGAAGTGTACAAATGTTTCCTTTTGGTGAATATGGGTTAAGCTTTTTTACAGATTTTATGAGTGAATAAAATCATCGCAAACTCATTACAGAACAATTTTCAAGCAAACATTCGATATTTCAAAGATCCTACTTTTTATATATGAATTTCAATCAACCCATACCCGAAATGAACGAAGATTGATCATGTTTGAATGCGATAAATTGCCAAGGAAAATTGATACATTTGCCAAAGCAATTAACATTTCTGAATCATGCTTGCATTCCAGAATTAATAATATGTTTTTGCTTAATATTTTTTATAATTTTGTATTCATGATTTAGGATAAAGCTAAAGAAGAAAGCGAACGATTAACGTCGACAACTACCTTGGTCGTCAATATAAAAGATGATGATGATTTACCACCGTCATTCATATACACGGGCTGCATGATGTTGGATGGATCATGTATAAACACTGAATACTCGGCGTCGGTAAGTTTTTGAGCAAAATGGAAATTTATCTACGTTAAAAACAGAAAAATTAAAAAACTCTACTCTATGGACTTCAACTAAGGGATCAACCGGATAAAAATTCTATTGTGCAACTGGGAAGCGTAGTCGCTCCCACACTTTTTGCGTCCTCAGTTATTGTAAATCCCCCATCGAATCTTATAGGGTTCCTTTGGTTAAGAACCAATTTAAACAGGTGGCAATATATTGACGTGAACCTGCTGAAGAATGGTTGCCTGAGGTAACCGGCTTTGTATTTCAATGTCCATTATTTATACCTCTAGATAGGCTTTGTTATCCGATAGCAGTGAAAACATCTGCTATGCCGTATGCAATATACGATGTGGGCGAAAATTTATGGGCTGCCATCAGTTAAAAAAATTTAATAGAATTTGCGGTTTTACTCACTTTCTGAAGATGTCACCAATTTATTATTGTGGAAATTAAGAAACGTATTTTTTAAGGTTTCCGCTGGCGTGAACCAAGGCATTTTGAATACTCTACCGGAAAAAATTCAAGCTGTAGATATGGACACGATAAACTCCCCAATCAAGTTTTCATTCGTTAGCGGTACTCCCGCAAGTTACGTGGAATATTTCAAAATCAACCCCGATACCGGTGCAGTTCATCAAATTAAGGCTGTGGAATCTGCCACCACTAAAAAGTTTAATATCATAATAAAGGTGAGTGAAATATAACTAATTTTAGCCATTGATGCGTTGGTGAAGACGTATAAAGGATATATGGAAACGATACTGAATTGTTTTATATACCTAGTTATTTTTGCGTCTTTTGCTAAATAATCATTTGGAATTATCAGGCCCAGGAAGTGTCAGAAGCCAAACGATCCACTACAGCAAAACTATTCATCACAGTCAAACCGGTAGATACACATCCTCCAGAAATCGTTTTGTCTTCCAGAGAAGGTTACGTGAATGAAATGTCCCCGGTTGGCGAAGAAGTCCTTGATGCTCACGATAAACCACTGCTAGTTCAAGTTGTCGATCCTGACTTCGTAAGTCGCTTCTTTCAAACAGCAAATTATAATAAAGGTCTGCCGGTATTAATTGCGTTCCTTGTAGTTTTAGAATATTAATTCTCTGTTGCAATAATAAAGCAGTTTTATATCTGTCTTACTCAATCTTTGAGTGTTTGATGATTTATTTGAACACTTTTTTCAGTTTTCTGTTCAGTACAGTTTTTCAATTATCATTATCTGTTATAGAATATAATCAGTTGATTAACTTCAAGGTGCTAATTTTATATATCATACAAACACATAAGTTTTTTTATCCATAAAAATATTTGCAAATATCGTTTCAGGGACCTGATGATCCTAAACCGATTTACACGTTTGAACTAACATCGCCGTACTTCGTGATTGATAAAGATGGTCATTTGGTCGTTAATGAGAATAATCTGGATCGCGATCCTCCAAATCCTGGCAAGTTCAAATTTCAGATTGTCGCCAGAGAAAAAAATAGCACAGCAGCCAGTGCTCCATCTTCAGTAACGGTAAATTTGCTGGATATCAACGACAATCCTCCAATTTTGCCGATTATTTCGCCTGTTTCAGTACCAGCAGGTAAGACGATCGATTGAACGTTTTTCATAAACACCAAATTAAACCCGAAAGCAAAAAATGTAAATAGACAGAACAAATCTTCTTGCGAGCTAAAAAGGCAAAAAGTGAAGAACTGAACGCTGCACAATTTAATCAGATCCACGGAAAAATACCTTTGCAAATTTTAAGTATACTAATAATCGATATTGACCGAATATTAATCTGCCAATATATTCACCGTCAGTTGAAGAAAAATGGCAAATTTATATTAAATTTTAGGAGACACTAAACGAAATGTTACTACAATTCACGCTGCTGATAAAGATGAAGGTGTAAATGCTGAAGTAAAATATTCCATTTATCACGTATCAAATAATGGCAATAACAAATTCTCCATTAACGAGCACACTGGTGATATTACAACTACTGGAAAACTGAATGCTGGTGACCAGTACAGCCTCACCGTGCAAGCTACGGATTCAGGTATACCTTCTGCTCAAGTTATCATCTAATCAAATAATGATAATTAATAACTGCTATTAGGTGGGCTTTACAGTCAAGCTATAGTAGAAGTGACTGTTAGTCCTGGACCCAACACAGAAGCTCCTATTTTCGAGCAATCCGTCTACGATTTGGAAGTGAGCGAAGGAGCTACGATTAATTCTACAGTGGCCACTCTAGTTGCTACTGATCCAGAAGGCGATCTTATCAGCTACTCGATTATGTCCGGAAATGACTTAAGACAGTTTGCTATTGGAACTAAAACAGGCGTAATTTCTATTATTCGGATGCTGGATAGAGAAGATCTAAACAGATATCAGATGGTGATTAAAGCTGAAGATACCGGGAAACTGTCCAGTACAGCCACTGTCAATATAAAAGTTACAGATATTAATGATAAGAATCCAGAATTCGTGGGAGATCCTTACTTGTTCCACGTAAAAGAAGGTAATTCGGTCCAACAGATAGCAAACGTTATATAAATAATAACATGCTGCAATTACAGGAATTAAGAAAACTTCGGTGGGATTTGTGAAGGCAACAGACGCAGATGAGGGCATAAATGCCCAGGTTACATATTTAATCCCAAGCGGATTGCCTTTTGATATTGACAATGAAACTGGGGAAATACGTACTAACAGGCCCTTGGATTACGAAAGTCAAAAGGTGCGAAGATTTAATTAAATGAAAAACAAACTGGACAGGAAGTTTTGATTTCAGAATTACCAGTTTGTGGTGACAGCAAAAGACGGAGCTCCGGACCCGAGAATTGCAACAGCCACAGTTGCTGTTGAGGTCGAAGATGTTGAAGATGAAGTCCCAGTGTTCCGAGAAGAATCTTACGAAGCCCTGGTCCCGGAAAATGCTGCTGACCATTTCGTCACTTCAGTGGAAGCATATGATCCAGATACAGTTCAAAAGATAACCTACGTAATTCATCAAGGACCTACCGATTTATTTAGGATTGATGAAAAAACTGGAGCAATTTATACGACACGTGGTCTGGATTATGAAAAGGATCAAGAGCACGTACTGGTTATTGGTACTTTGGAAAATATGTCCAATGAAAAGAATAGCACTACTAAAGTGATTGTGGAAGTGGAGGACAGAAATGATATTCCACCAGTATTTACCATTATTCCGCATCCGATCAGTTTGGAGGATGACGTAGCCATTGGTACAACAGTTACGACTTTAGTAGCTACTGACTCTGATGGAACTGCACCAGGAAATAAAGTACGATTCCTGTGAATATCCACTAAGAATTCATAGTGTTCAACAGAAACACGTCTAATTTTATTTTATTTGAGTTAACTGTCGATTTATATTGTCTTTCCTTGCAGGTACGATACGAGATAATAGGTCGAGGAAAAGCACCCAAATATTTCCAAATAGATCCCGATTCTGGTATTCTACGGGTAACTAATGATTTGAAAAAAGAAGTTGACACCGAATATCAGGTAAGAAGCGTTTTTCCACATTACTCCAATTATCCAACGCAGTAACAATTTACTTTACCGAAACATTATTTTGATGAGTTGTGAAAGGAAGCTAAGTAAAGTTTTCACAAAGTACAGACGCTGGTATAAAAGGATTAATTTTATCTATTGATATGAATTAATATATCTTGAAAACTGTGTATTTTTTCATTGTAGGTTGATGTTAGAGCTTATGATCTTGGTGATCCGCAACTATCCTCCGTTATAACCGTTGAGGTTTTCATTCAGCATGTGGCAACAGTTGCTCCAGAAGTCGGACTGCGCTTCGCTGACACTGCTTATACTTTGCAAGTACCCGAAAACACCACAATTGGAAAACATATAAAAACTTTGACTATCGTGAATGGAAAAACCCATGGAACCACTATACCCCTGAAATGTCAGATAATTAGTGGAAACACTGAAGGTCGGTAACTCAAACTCTGTTTCAATTTGTTTAACTTCCACTACAAGTTGACGATTATTAACCTTAGCGTGATTTTATTTAGGAAAGTTTGTCCTAAATGTTACGGAGGACCGAAACTGTGCCCTATTCTTAAACGGTTCTTTGGATTTTGAAAGTCACGAACAATATGTGTTTGATGTGGAAATTATGTCCTTGCAAGGTTTCATCAATAAAGATTTTGCGGTTACTCAAGTTACTGTAAATGTGCAGGACGTCAACGATAACAAGCCATATTTCGTTTATCCATTTGAAGGCGAGAATGTGTCCAGCAAACCTTTTAAGGGTAAGTATCTAACATCGCTAAACCTTTTTAAAAATTTTATTGGCAATTTCTGTTTCAGATCTTAACTCCAATGATATCGAGAGTGAAACCGAAAATAACACAACCTCTGAATCCCGAAAATATTTTGCTGCATTATCATTAGATGCGCCGATAAATACAGCAGTTACTCAAATCAAAGCTGAGGATTTGGACACCGGAAAATTTGGCAAAATTTCCTACAATTTAACAGGCAAGAAAAATATATATATTTTATAATTTCCAATATATCTATGAAACACATGTTATAGGAAATTACAGTGAAGAATTCTTTACCATCGACCCATCCACAGGCATAATTAGAACGAAAAGAACCTTCGACTATATCAGCCAAGAAAGTTTGCCATTTACTCTAATAGCTTGGGCAAGAGATAACCCGAATGCTACTCGAGACTATTTCGAAACAAGCACCCAATTGGTGATCAATCTTATTAGTGACCAAAACAGACTTATTTTGGTAATCGGCGATGCGAAACCAAATATTGTGCAGAAAAAGCTGGACGATATAGTGAAGGTAATCCAGGATCAATCTGGATTAATAGCAGGTATGGTGATAATTTAATGTTTAATAATTCCAGTAAACTCCAAGTTACCCAAACAATAGTTCTCCTGATGCGTATCTCAAACTATATAGCTTCAGTCCATTTGCTTATTTTTTAATTTTTTATTATTTATTTAAGAGTTGATTTTATATTTAGCCAATAAAAAACACAGCTCATCTTCAGGCTTAAACAATATTGTTTTATTATTGCAAAAATTGTTTCATTTCACATTGTTCAGTTCATTTTTAATTTTTCATACAACTTTAAATATTGCAGGGATTGAAAAGTTGGGCTCCAGACAATTTATTGGCGGAAATGGGACTCTGGAAAACGATCCTGAAGGCACCGATGTTTGGTTTTATGTGATTGATCCAGACACTGACGAAATATTGACCAGAAATAGTTCGCTTGTTAAAAGGTAAACATTTCCAAATGTCAATGTTTATTTCATATATTTTCTTGGTATTAAATGTGAAGAACATTTAATGTGGTGTTGAGTATTTTTGAGATAGTCCGTCTCAGAAGTCTGCTAACTACCAATAAATTTTAATTACAGTTTTTGATTATCTTTGTCCTAAACGTTGTTTCGTTACTAACTTGCGCTCTATTGGCGAAGTATCTTATCGAGTTTTTTTGCATAAAAACTACTGACAATCAGTTTTTATTTAATATGAAACTTGTTTTGCTTAAAAAACATAAATGATAATTTTTCACCTTTTTGACCGAAATTGGAGAGCATTTCGTTGAAAAATTTTGCTGTTTTCCACTTCAAGCCGAGAAAACTACATACTTACTACTAAAACTCACGAACGCTCATATTAGACCTGTTATTGAAGAAAGAAAAAAATTGATTGAAAATAAAATTGAAGTAATATTTTTAATCGTAAAGTAAACATTCGCAAATTGTCTAATTTGAGCAAATAAAAAGTGCAGCAAACGTTTGAATTATATTTTTTAGAAACATTCTCTGGTTCAAAGTAAGTAATACGCAGTACATAAGTGAGATAAACACAGTTTATGTTTACTGGTACCAAATAGGTACAAAAAAAAACTAAATCGAAATCTAATTCTGATCGTCATTAAAGTATACCAAAGTTTATATTTTACAAATTGAAACAATTTTGGTAAAGGAAAATTAAATATGAAAGAACCTTAGAATTTTTAAGCTCGTTTAAATAAAGTACATGTATTAGATTTTCGTTCTAAACACACAAAAAAACTTAGTTTTTAAATTTAATTTGAAAAACAAATGTGTTATTTAAATACCAACCAGCAACTAGCAAACTAAAGTTTATATAACCTTTATTTACTTTCGGAATTTGAACCTTGAAAATTTTGTTTTTATTTATATTTCAGAGCTTTAATAGACAAATCATCTATGGACAACATAACATTCGACCTATCGGCACAAATAAAACATACGGCTTTCAACATTCACGAGCCCTTAGTTTTTCATAAAGTCCGAACGGCTTCCTTGGCTTCTTTCAACGATGAAGTGTTTCTTTATGCCTTGATTATTATTGCCTGTATCATATTTGTGCTTGGCAGTGTTGGCATTATTTATATCTGCGTTTCGTGGTCCAGGTAAGGAAGAATCCCTAATTTTTTCAAAACTAGTCAATTTAAAATGGTAATTTCAGATATAAAAGCTTTAACGCTCAATTTACCAAAGCGCGGCAATATGTGGTACCTGCCAGTCCAGCAAGATACGACACTGTGTATGTTGAACCCAACCTGAAGGAATACGAGACGCAAGTCTTGCAAATGGTAGTGAATGTTGATGATCAAGAGGATTTTAATGATTTGCAAATCGACTTCAGCAACAAAAATCATGCATTTAGCTTGGAGAATGTCAGTTATATCGGAAAAGACACAAACTTAAAAAATTATGGTAATTTCATTACTTTTTTGTTTTAGTAGTTTGGAAGGAAACTGACTGATGAAGGTTTTTCTTTACAGATAAATCACGTCCAGTAAGTAATGAATCTGCGTCGACTGTGCGAGCGTCTAGTGAAGACGATAACACCCATCTAATAAAAAGTACTAACAATAACATAAGGAGAGATCATATTTACAGGTAATCATCTAATATCTAATTTGCGTCATCAGTGATAATAAATGTAGGTCAATGTTTTGTGACTAATATTTCAGCAATTTTATTTATGTGCAATTGAATAAAGCATGTGTACTTTGATCAAAACTGAATCACATTCTGGTCTAATTCATAGTTTTAGGATTCAATGTCTAATTATTTCTAGTTATATAGCTTCATTGTGTGGTTTTATTGTATATTTCTTGTTTATTATTTATTATTTATATAAAGCCACGCATTTTAACATACCAACTACCAACTTGACACAGTAGGTTTTCGCTTTTAACCATTCAAAAAAGTGCTTTTTATAGCAGTTTTTTCACTATTTAACCCAACTGTTTAATTCTTATAAAACAATTCAATCATTATTATACTGGCTTTATCCATATTTATCGTAAAACTATAACAGTGTATAATTTTTTGTCGATTACAGATCGTCAAGCGAGGACGACATGAACACAAGTCCCACAAATGAGAATGTCATGTTTAAGGAGAAAAAAGATTATAACATGACCATGGGATATTCCTACGATTCTCCCATAGAAACAACGACAGAGTTATAGGTAGCATTCTTTGAAGTAATATTTCTCATCCTACATTAAATTGTAAATAGACATATTTTCAACGAATTTAAATTACTTTATTATCTATGTGATATTCGGTATACTTACTAGGTTTGTCACAACCATGCTCAAAAGATCGGCCCCTTTTACATAGGGTTTTCTTATTAAGGAAATGTATTAATTAAACCCATTAATAAATTAGCCCAATGCGGTTTATAGGTAAAATTATCATTATCTTGTATTAATTGTAGTGCCAAACTAAGTAAATTGAGAGTTGATTTTGATTAGACGTGTTTCCATTTACATATCCATGATTTCAGCTACTCGTTAGATATAACGGAAACTGGGATACTTCTACTCAAAAACAGTTTTTATAGTGATTCCTGCTATAAAAAAATGACTGAACTGACCGATTGAATCAATTAATTGGACGCTTCTATAATAATGTAATAATATGTCGGCTGCAGAAAGCGTATTTTTTTGTAAATATTGTTTCTAAGCAATTAGAATAATTCTACAGAAGTCATTTATAGTCTCGAAATATTTAATATGACGCATCTGTAAAATGTTTATTTAGCAACTAGTCTAAACTTGTAAATACTGTTGTAAAATAGCTTTGTAAAAATAACTTATTTTTACACGTTTTATACCTATCTTGCCAAAATAAAGTAAGTGTGTAAAAAGTTGGTTTTGTTTCATTTAACCAATTCATCCACCAGTAAAACCAATTCATCCTTTCTTCCAAAAGTGTGAGAATAAACCGGCAGCTTTCCAAATTCTTCACCACATGATATTTGCGAATACGAATTCTTGAATATAATCAGGATACACTAAGGAAACTGATTAATTTAGTGCTTTAACTCGATTGAAATTTAATAATTACGAACACAAACACACTGATTACAAAATAATAAATACTATATCTAAAGTCAACCTTTTGCGCAAGGTTCATCTATAAACATGAACACACCAGAACTAGCTTAGTAACTAATAACTGTAATCATATACACGTTTATGCATATAAAAATATATCATTTACTTTCTATTTTTCATCTAGTTTTTTTATAAATAATGCTTTTCTTAAATGTTTAGTGTATAAAATTCTATATAGAATGTAGTTCGATTAAAAAAAAATTGTCAAACTTGAAATAAATAAATTGAGGGGGTTCTTTCTATTTCGCCTAACAACTAAAAAATTTGTGGTTTTTTATCAATAAAATATGAGATGTATTTACAATATGTACAAATATCCATACCTAAGGCTAATCGATAGGTTGAGCCCACGGATGCTCTATATGTCCATATTGTATTGCCTGTAGTTCTTCTCTAATTCTACGGAATATTGGGTTTGGATGTTGGATCGTCGGAATATTTATTATTTCATCCTGATATTCAATTGAGCTAATTGGACTTACTATACAGGCCGTGCCTGATCCAAACATTTCCAAGAGCTGCAAAATCAGTTAGAAATATTAAAATTGACTGAAATAGGCCGGCGGAAGGGAGAAATTATTTTAATAAAAACTATATAACATATATATTGTGAGGGTTGTATTTTAACAAATAAATTAATTTGTAATTAGAAAAAACAGACGAATAATCCAAAGTTTTTTTTATAAGCTCACGGTTGCCAAGCCTGGTAGACATGCAGTCAATTGTCTTTTTAAAAAAATCAAGATTTGTTAATTTTATCGCTTTTCATCCAATTAAAAAATGCTATTTGGCTTTATCAGTAAATATTTCTTAGACCGTTGCGTATAGAGCTAAAGCCCACTTTTGGCGTGAGCAAAACACTTCAATCAGCTAATGCCTTATCAAATGAACAATGTAATGAAAAAAGGCTTGTTTTTGCTATGAGCTTAGTTTCAAATATGCGCTTTTTAGTAAAGCAAATTGAGAATTCACAGTAAAAGAGAGAGTAAAACAAGAGTTCTGTTGGTTTTTTACATCGTTTTTCACCAAACAGAAACTGTTAAAGAATCCTCTTATTAGTTGAAGTCCTCCTTATTACCTTGTCAGATTTTTGTAACTTGACTATTTCTCCCATGGTGACTGTTCGTTGCTCAATCCGAAACTCTTTCCACTGCTCACATAACTGGAGTATAGACTGTCTAGTTACTCCAGGTAAAATAAGACCAGTTAATGGTGGCGTAACTAATACTTTATCTAAAATTCAGAAAAACCTGTTTCAAAATATCTGTTTTTATGTGGCTTATGTTCAATGTTACCTCCAAATTCGTTTTGGTAAAAAACGAAAATGTTCATAGTTCCTACTTCGGTTATCTGGTGATCTGGTCCATATAACCATAATACTTGTTGGCGACCTTTTTCGATAGCCTTGTTTTGTACTCTAATTGTAGGGCCGTAGTTGGAACCCAACTTTTTGTCTCCACAACCTCCGGGCCAGGCCCTAATTAAAAAAAGCGTTTTGTTGCATTGCATTATTAATTTCTCGATACTATGAACATTTTTTTGATAAATAATTCATTTTATCTAAAATGAATTGAATACTGAATGAAACTGCACTTATTAGAAAAATGAATTCTTCATGTGCAATAAAAACAATTTTTCAGAACAATTGTTGATTTACTTAAATTTATAAAATGTTATCATTCTACCAGATCAAGACGAGGTAGAGGAAACTAGTAACTTTCAATAGCTGCGCTTTCGTATATATGAACTTTTACTAAGTAAGATTATTTGAAAGTGAATTACTATTGAATTAATCAGTTAACAAAAAGTCAAACATAAAACCTAGTTTTATATATGAGATGCGTAATAATGTTTCATAGTTGTACATAAAATTTAGTCAGCTTTCCTGTAAAAAAAGACAGTTTGACATAGTGCAACATAATGAGGCTTTTTTCCACCATTATATACAAATTATCCTTCGCAATTATAATAAACTTTTACTATATAAATCGCGATTCGAACGTTTCAGTTATCAATAGTTTGATACCAGCCTCCACAATAGTATGTACTTTTTGAAACCTCAGAAATGTTCATTTTAATTGCTAAATAAATCAATTTAAATAATATTATTAAGTTATTAATTAACGTCTTACGTATAATTGTTTAGTTATTTTTTACACTTCACCTATTGAATTTAAACTCTTGGAACTGTTTGCTCGTAAGAAACTGTAAATGTGCGAGTAGAAATGTTAGGATGGTACCATATTGAACAATATCATCTTCAGTAAAAAATAGAATGGAACTATTTGCCTACATTAATAAAAAATTTAATTGTCCAAACATTTATAATTATTTAGCCTCATTTCTGCAAAAATGTTACGAACGGCCGGCATGATCGCTGGATTTTACACTACTTGACTTTTTCGCTTTGGTCAAGAGAAAATATGCAAAAATAACGTTAAAAATGAAATACAGAATTATAGTGAAAACGAAAAACAAAACGACATGAAAGATTGAGTGTCGTGTCTCAATCGTGTTTATCGACACAATAACTTTCATTCAGAAAAATTCAACGTGAGCTAAAGCTTAATGTATATGAGATTTATATGTATTGTATACCTTGTGTATGAGGGATCTGCTAATAATGAAATGGAATCATCATTTCCATTAAAGTAACTGCCCACAGGACACATAATAGCGAATAGTAGTGCTGAATCTGACTGTTGGACTCCTAGCGTTCCCTAGAAATTATATATAAAAAACGGGTGTGTAAAACTGGATGTATAAGCTGTCTTATTAAGAAAAATGTTAAACTGGTTTGGACCACACGATATTTAAGGCAATATTTTACAGAAACCTTTTGGGAAAATTAATTTTGTCTATTTTCCAGCTTTTATTGTTATCTTATTTAGATGGAAACCGCGTTGTTTTATAAAAAACTTGTATCTACTTATAGCAACATCAGTGGCTTTGTAACAGTACCTAATTAACTTGACAACTGATACTATGTAAGCTACATCATTAAACAAAATGTAGGAAATTCTTTAATAAGCTTTAGTGATGATAAGAATAGTGATAATTGATTTATACCAGTGTATACCGGCTTCGCGTTAAGTGAGTGTGAATGCTAGGTCAGATAAGCAAAATCGTCTGACCATTAGATGATTATGTATATTTTCACCATTATCTCAAATCGACTTTTATTGCGTTTATCATGGTTTGTTTGAAATGTTTGCAAAAATATGCCTGTTAATTTTAATAGGCAAATAACGAATGATTTTACTCATTTGGAACCAGGAACTGTAGAACAAGTAGTAACACGATACGTTTCACTTACATCTATTCCGATTAAAGTGGGTCTGAGATACAAGCTGCTGGCTTCGCTATGTGGAACCCATTCTTGATCAACTTCAACTAAACGATTTAGGCATTTCACCATTTCCATTCCATCAAACGTAGGCAATCCAGAACTCAGAGCGGATCCATTCATTCTGATCATGTTCATGTCAGGACGAAATATTCTAATTTTTCCATCAACCCCTCTGTATGCTTTCATGCCTTCGAAAAGCTATGAAGATAAAATGATACAGTCTTGTTCTATGGATGCATTTGAATAAACTGTGCTGTTCTCATGAGTTACGATAGATAATACCATTATTTAGCAACATTCCAAGCGTAGCTGTTGTGATGCCAAAAAATATTTGAAATTTACTCAAATTCAGTGTTGACTTGCTAATTATTACTTTGCTTACAACTTCGCAACAATGGGTAATTAAAATTCACTATTGATGTATTCAGGGATTGACTAATATGGCATATAAATTGTAGATAAATCTTAAACATGTTTCCGTTCACACATTGATATTGCAAAGTGCAAGTTCAATAATAGTATTACCATCTATTAAATGAAATTTGTGTCAAGCTTTCTTTCTTTATTTTCTTTTCTTTCAGCTTTAGATAGTTTTTTCCTTTCTAAGTAAGGTACCTAGTGCTAAATTTGTAAAAAAATTCTCCGCGTGATTCATTTATGGAATCGTTTTTTGTTGTTTTAAAGATTTATGCTAGAAGATACGTAAAGAAATGGAAAATGAGGAAGTGTATTTTTTACACATCCACAATAGTAAATTCTAGAAAACTATGATTGCTGAAGTTTGAATGCTCAAAACTGGTAGAGTATTAGATCAGCAAATTTTTTAATTTATAATTACGATCAGTTTCTTTGGCCAACAACAACCAGTTATAATAAAAAGAGAAACCTGGTACTTAAACTTTCATGCTTTTAACGGTTTTTTGAGTATTGTGTAGATTAGGTAGGTTTTTTATATGACTTTGTTACTTAATGTAGATTCATAAAACAAACTCGACAAAATATAATCTTAATTAATATCCAGAGGATTCACGCTTTTAATAAAAATATCATAAAATAATTTCCGTTAGCCGTAAACTTTCACTTTTGGACTCGCTTGAAGGTTTGTCCGATAAAAATAGCATTTTCTCCCTTATACTTCAAATAGGAAGTAATGAAATATATCAACTTTGATGATGGACATTGTTCTCAGTCAGCTAATTAGATGCCTAATTAGTTAATAGTAAATGAGAATGTATTAATTAAATAGAAGGAACTAATTAGGTAATCGGTGGTAGCAGGAAACCAGTATAAATGTTACGTTAAAACCAACGTAACCTTTCATGAAAAGATATTCCGTTCAGTTGAGAACAGGAGACACACTTAAAACGAAAATTGGTTTACAAATTATTAAATACTAGGAAGAGGTTTATAGGAGAAAATAAAACCTTGACCGTGATTATAATCCTACTTTGCATCCTATGCAAGTTCATATTAGTTATACATTTGATAATACTAATTTGACCTTATGATTTGTTAATGTAGGTCAGTGTTGCATTTTATACAGCAAATATAAATTTTTATTTGAATACCGTTTGAATATTAATTATGTTTTCAATGCAGTTCCATAAACAACGGCAAATTTTCGCTTTGAAAAGTACTGATATGTAAAATTTGGAAATTCCAACCTGCTACAAACCTATTTTACTACTAATTCTTCTACATTTCTAATAATACATTTGACAAATACAACTGTGGCAAAAAAATGCTGCTATTGAGGATGGATATCTGATGCGCACAGTTTAGATTAAAACTGTATTCTGATCACCCGTAATTTCACTATTTTCAATCTTAGGGAGGGAATGAAACTGGAGTTACTTACCTCAACAGCGTAATGTAATACTTTGGCAGCTGGATGTAAGGAAATATTTTCAAATGGAATAATGACAGGTTTTTGCCATCCTCCCAACTTCTTGTGATATAATATCTTTAGCATATGATCGGTGAAAATGTGCCCAAATTTTAGATCCGCTACATCTGGTTTGGAGCGCAGATGATCAGGATCGCACAATTTGGTGGTAAGGTCTTTGAACTGAAAAAGTTAAACAGTCGAATAGATTAAACCAAATAAAAGTCCGAATAAGTATGATTTATTCTACTAGTGCCATTGTGAAAGCTTTATTCTCCCTTAGATGCTAAAAGGGCCGAAACTAAGCCTGGGTGAGAATCCTTAGAAAACATATTTATATCAAACTTAAAGTTTTAGTGCGAACAACAACAAATTTGATACATTTAGGAACTGAAATTTGCTTTTGGAAATATTGCAATGCGAACAGATACTTTCTACAAGAATGTTAACAATAAACAAACTGAAATCGCCAAGCAAGAGCAGCGCAATGAATCACCAAAATTAATGGGTAGAAAATTGAGGATGGGGCCCCAGCTTGCAGAAAGCTGGTAGCAATGATCTCTAATCTATAAATCTTTTAGCTTGAGCTGCGTTTAGTTTTCCGACAAGCAACTGAAGTTTTATGGATTCTTTATATTTCTCTCTCTCTTTGCTTTGCTGATTGCAAATAAGTTTGGCTTTGGACAGATTTTCTGCTGCACTAAACACATTTTCTTATTTCTTTTCACGTGGCACTACGCAGCTTTCGGTAAGCTTAGCATTATTTTGCCCCTGGTTGCTATGCAGATGTAGAACTGTTCGTCCCATATTCATCAACTGACTTGTAGGATGAATTTGGTATCGATTGACCGATTGGTTCTGTCGTAGTTATTTTTCAAACTTGGCTTGGCAAAACAAAACGTATTTTACAGAGTGTCAATCTTCCAAGTTTCTACTGGCTTTACTTTGAAAGTTGCATTGTTTATCGAAGAGTCTGCAGTTGAGTAAAATATTTTATTTTTAAATTAACAGACGATGCACGCAAAATTCAGGATTTTATGTGATTTGAATGGATTTTTTAAGGATTTTGAAGAAATTTTGACTACATTTAGAGCGCACTCTTCTTCACTGAAATCATAACTCTGAACTTGTAGAGTATTTTTTGTTTCTGAAAAATTGCGAAAAACGCTATCCAAAAAGTGTCCCGCAACAGTTTTTTCAAATCTAAGCACAATTTTCTTAACGATAAGTGGAATTCGTTTTTTTACATTCATGGTGCAATCTTCTTCTTTTCTATATAAAAATGCCAAAACAGTATTTACATATAATTAAAACAAGTTGGAGCTGCAGATAATTGTATTTTATGACCGTACCAAGATGAGAACAACCCTGAGAGTAAATATAAAAATATTTCGTAAAAACTAATCAAATTACTCGCTAGGTTTCGTTCGCTAAGTTCGGATTTAGGTGCTGGATAAGTAAAACAGGAATATTTAGGAAGTTTATACGAACAACTACCAATATTTCCTTCTGAAAATGTATAGGTTTTAGGCACGGCAGATCACAAGAGCTGATAGATCGGACGACTCAAAAAAAAATATTTTTAATTTATTAAAATGGGAACGAAAGATCCAGTATGGCTTATCCAAAACTTGATAGTTTTGCACATACCGGGTGTTAAAAACATAGAGAAAACTGAAAAGCAAACGCGAAACTCGTGGGATTACTTTAAATCATTGTTGTTTTCATTAACCTTATTATTACTTGTTCTAATAATAAGATCATAGTTTTTTAAATATCTGGTTATCTGGATTTGAAACGACAATAGATAGTCTTTGGGGCATTTCCGTGTTTCTTGAGAAATGCATATGTTTTATCATGTCACTTATTTCTCCACAATTTTCTAGTGCAGTTAATTTCAGAATAAATCCTGCAACTTTAAAAATCCTGTATTTGCAAAGTTGTCATGTTTAAAATCAGACTTGCTTGTTGCATCATTTGGTTTGTAATGCCTTAAACTCATAATTACTCATTCTCAGATATTTATGATTCTATTAATAATAGTAATATAAGTATACACTTAATAATAATAAGATATTATTAAGTGCTACTGTCAATTGGAAAAACAGAATATTTATTTTACTATTACTTTGTACTTATTTTTTTATTTCTTTTCTGTAATTTTCTTAATTCATTGGATTTTGCTTAAATGAATAATTATGCCAATAGGCATGGTTTTCAAAGTGATTCAAATACCTTTTCAAAATTAACTTGTAAAATATTGTAACACTATTCCCGTCTTGTATTAATCGCAAACTAATGATGCAACTTTTTAAACCGAGTAATTAATAACCAAATTAGCACTCGGTAAACTGTAACATTAACCCCGAACCTTGACATATTTTGATGTTCCTTGTTGATAAAGTTTTGGATGTAAAATTTCTGAATCAATTTTAACAAGACTCCAACAGAGAAGCAAAGAAACAAAAAACATCTATTCAATGATAACAATACAAGTACACTATGAAAATCAAACAACTTACTCTAAATGTAATCTCACTATCAGTTTCATCATACTGATCGGTGTCATATTTTCTTTCTTCTAATGGATCATTCATGGCGCGTTTTACTTTCAAAGAACAGGCGCGTGTAGCATGCCTGGATGCTTGTTTCAGCTTATGTTGAAACTGAAAAATCAGCTTGCAGGAACACTGAAAAAAATAAAAAAACACTAAATTAAATCGAAATCTATACAAAATGTAGTTGGTATTTAATAAAAGAGAAGAAACTGGTTAGTTGAATTTGTAAAACATAAACTACCTCACTGATTCTGCTGGTTGTTTTTAGCTAATATTGTTTTGTTTGACGAACGTGATTTGCTTTAACTAATTTTTTAACATGATTTTGTAAGATTTTAGTGTGGTCAATGTATATTGACAAGTCACGAACAAACGAAACACAATAGCTTTGGGCTAAATATATTTATTTGAAATGTAATTGTTATTTCGGTGTTTCAAAACTATTAAAAATTTAATTACAAATAGTACTATTGCAATTTTTCTGTTTATTATTGAATCTTATTGACGTAGTCATTCTCAGACGTTTCGATATTGATGAATTATGCCTAACAATAATATTTATCTTTATGTAGGTCTATTCAATTGTGGGTCTTATCGGAATGTACAACATGTGATAATATTGGGCCAACTGCCATAAATGAATCAAAAAAATATTCATAGTAGACATTTTGCATGTATAAAACTGACGCTGAAACTGGTTGTCCCTGCAAGATAACTGTTCTGCAATATAAACAACGTCAATCGAATTTATTTTAAACTTGCTCTTATCAAATCTTTTTGGCAAGTTCAATTAAACATTTGTGACCTGATTATAAAAAGTTGAATCACAAGTATATGTACAAGGCGTACATATTTTAGGAAGAAGTAAGATAACTTTTTGAAGATCTAACATGTTTGATTTCAAAATTGACAGAAAACTCTTGTTTGGTACGCGGACCACACTGTCGAGAGAAAATGAGAAGGAAATTTATTGTGTTACTGTGTCTGGATATGTTTGGCCTTATAATATTCAGGGCTTTTGCTTAGAAATTGGAAACACATGTTTTGATGAAAGTTGTCAAGGAGCGTATTTGGAAGTACCTAATTAATGCAATTGAAGATATATCTTATTTTTTCTAGTTGTTTAAATATACTTACGTTTTTTTATATACATATTCAACTTATGCTAATGGAAGCAAAACTTCCGCAAATTAAATTAAACATGTTTTAATAGGCGGTCCAATAAGAAATTTTCTTTAGGCCTTTGCGGTTGCTGCGTGGAAACTTTTAAAATGCGAGAACTTTTTACCTAAGGAGAACAACTTTTCTAGATATAATGAGTTATAATTCTTTTAAGGTACATTGTTCTTTGCTTTCATACTGTTTAAGTATAGTGGGTACTGAGGTAAAATTTTGAAATTTTAAATTTCCTCTTGCGTTTAAATGTAAAAAGTTGAATCTTTCGCCTTGTGCATTTTTGTAATTATATTTATTGTCCATATTGACGATTTGGTTTAATTATTTTCTGCGAACTTACTGTAAATCCACTGTAGTTTTCAATTATATTTGTATTGCAGCTTTAATTTATTTTAAATTTGTTATTTTTTAATGGTAATTCATATAAGGAAGGAAGTAATTTTGTTATACACTATATAATGTTTGATGCAAAATGATTAGCCATTCGTCTTCTTTCTTGCATTATAATTTTGAGATGAAAAAATGTTTCAGAACTTAGGTCAGGATTTTCTTATTTTAACTGTTTGTGACCACAGTAAAATTATGTTTGCCATTGGTCAAAATTTTAGTAAAACTTCTTCATTTCATAAGCATTATCATTTCTGGCTTTAGCAAACGAATTAGAAGTGAAAATATCGGGACGAACTGGCCAGGGATCACGACTAATTGACAAATAATTCATGCCAAATTAGACTATAGAATAATATTTGCGCTTCCAAAAAACCGGAAGATGTTTACAGGAATGCAAGTAGTTCTGGGTCTTGAAAAACACTATCCACATGAAAAAGAAAACCGGTTAAAATGAGTCTTAAATGACAAAGCAATATGTTAATGTTTATTCATGGAATAAAAATTAAAAAATCAAAGCAAAAATGTTATTTAATAAATAGTCTTACATATACAAGGAAGGCTAAGGAATAAAGGAGTAAAATAAGAATGGCATGAAGAAGAAAGCGGGGAAATGGACAATACAAATACGGTAACATTCAGCATAAAGACATTTCTTTGAGCGGAAATTTATTAGGAATCTAAAAGCTAATTTTCCAGTAAAAGATAATTTCAAAATTCTTCAAACAGTCGAAAAAGTTACAAACATTACTATTTTGTTGCAAAAATTTGCAAAATGGGAAACTCTGGAGGCCAGGGACTGCAATGCTGCCGATTAAAGTTCTGAAAATTATCTAGCTTCAGAAGGAATGTTTTTTTTGCACCGGGCACTGCTAATTACACATAAGTCAGCAGTCAAATCTTCATAATATTAGTCAATTTTTTTCAATCGAATATCCAGAAAATTGCCTAGTTGAATTTCCGTCGAATCATGTAACAAAACTGGGAAATAGCATTAGATGGTGAGCATGAATTACAAAATTTTGAAACAAAGCCCAAACCAGTTGACCTTATAATCAAACTTGATAAGTTCGTGCAAAATAACACCGTGTAGCAATAGTTTGCGGATAATTTAAATTTCATTAAAAATCGGGTGGTATATCATGAAACATCCACATAATTATACTTAGGGTTATATTGAATATCAAGCCTAATGTTCATTACTATTTCAGTAGCTCTTTTTAGTATTTAGCTAACTTTTTAAAGGTTCAGATTTTTGTTAAATTTTACCCTCCTTAAACGTTTCATGCTTATTTAAAGAAGAAGAAGGATGTAGATCTGTAATCGGGCATACACAGATATCGCACAGATTTATTGCATTTATAGTTCTAGTATATTATTGCTTCTTTTATTATCTCCTGTTTTTGTTATATAACCTCTTGAGAAGAAACAAGAAAAAAATTCCTCTTGATTCTTAGGTGCTTGTCTAATGCCTACCATAATCTACTTTATTGCATCATCGAAAAAAATGCAGCCTCATTAACACAAAGAAGAAAATCCGAAAATTTTGAGAATTTACTGTCTTTGATTGCGTCGGCTTTTAAAATACAGGTCAAAGATTTCGAATATTTCACAAAAATTAAGAACTTTGCTGTCAACCATTAATAAATATCTCTTACCTGTTTGGTTGAATTGAACATTGTAATTAAACGGAAAAGTTTCCCCAGCAGCAAATACACAAATTCCACGAGATTTTTCAAAACTTTCGCACTTTCGTCCACGATATCCTCACAAACGGTGAAAAAGGGCTGGATGATCTAAGCTTAACTGTTAAACAGGAAATTATTCGGTTGTCAACGATATTGAATCAATGGCCACTTAATAAATCGTTTGCCGACTTAACTATTGAATGGTAATTTTCGAACTAATTATGTAGTCCGATTCCCCATGAAATTTATAAATGGTAATTTCGAAAAAGAATGATGCCCCTTATCTGGGTTCGTACTAACTATACGAAAACAATAACATCGACGGAGATAAAATGACGCAAGATGCCTGTAGGAACAGAAAACATGGTTTTAGTGTTGAAACAGTATTTATTCTCTATTTTTACATATAGTATGATTTTTTATCTATTTGTGAAAGATAGTCAGAATTTGCAACAAATCCAGTCCAGTCCCATAAACACGTCTTATTTTACATTGGTTTATCAAGATTTGTATCAATGTTTTCAATTTGTGTCAAAAATAAATCGTTCAACGAGTTAATCAGCATTATTTTAATTTATTCATCCATCAATGTAAACTTTTGGGCAAATTTTTAAGCACTAAACATAATTTACAAAGCAAACCCATATATAGTTTGAAAGCTCTATTGTCTCTTTATACTGGATCTCCTGGCATTATTAGAATATATCATCAATTTTCCTTTAGTTACACCTGGAGTCAGAAATAAAAAAATATTTCTCCATTTATTCAAGTATGGAGAAAGTAAATAGCTAAAACGTTTTGATAAATTTTATTTTTTAAACTAAACATTTCAATGCTTATATAAAAATCTCAACGTTTTTATAACAAATATAAATTAAAATATTTTAACAAAAATATAATTTTCCTATTTGCTTTAATATTAATACCATTAATACAAATCACAAATTATGCACAAAATATAGAACAATCAAAACTAATTGTATCAAGTAATATCAGGTAATATAAATGACAAAAAATGTCTCCTACTTTCTACATAATGTAATTTTCTACATTAATTAAGTGGATATTTTCATAAATAATAATGAAAAGTAATTTTTAACACGCACCGTCCCGAAACTGACGATTTTTTAAATATATATAAGAAATATTTTAATGGTTGTAACTCAAATACTTAACAAGGACTCAAATACATCTTAAAATATGAAAAGAAAAATTTGTATAAACCGCTTTGTCTGCTTTGTCCTTACAATACACGGTGTGAGAAAAAATAAACTTGAAAACGGTTTACGAGCCATGCAAAATTATTCCATTTCCATTTTTGTCGCTTCAACACAGTTTATATTAATTGATCTCATTATAAAGTCTAGAAAAAAATACATTTCGGCAAAGAAGTGAGTGATAAATTGCTTTAAGAATAAATAATTAATCGTTAGTTGTTTGAAGAACATTTTTAAGTTATATGATATTCTTCAATTGTTTTCTAGTAAATGCTTTCATAAATTTATCTGTTATAAATATAGCTATAAAAACCTTAAAAATATATGCTTTAACTGATAAAACAAATTCGCAAATTAAGTTGCACTGAACGAGGTTTTGAACTGAATTAAAATTCGTCTTTGGTATTCGATTGTGAGGAAATGACAATATCATTTTTTTAAGGCAAACCCTAATTTATAGTGCACGTATTACGTAATATTAAGCGCATTTTATAAGGAATTAAGATTTTATGGGCCGGGATTTTACGGGATGTATTGAGGAAAACACATTTTGTCAACCGCTTTCGATTTTTTCTTTGAACGAGCTATAATTTAGAACGCACAGCTTAAGTAAACGGGTTTCTTAAATACTTTGTTGAAACTAAAATTAAAGTATGACCAGTGCTGCTTTTTTTCAAAATTTCAAGGCTGAAACTGGACCAACGGGAATTTTGAAAAATGTTAACGTTTTTAACAATAAATTTAAAATTTAAAATATGTTTATTAGAAATGTTGAATAAGTTACTATCAATAATTCCTTAAGATCTATACAATCGTGTACAAGCACTAAATCCTAAATTTATTGTAATAATGTACAGCTGCTGTATAAATCATAATAAATATTTTATTTCAAAATTGTAGAAATTGAGAATTGCTTTCCACTCATCTCATTTTCTTTTAAAATCAACAAAGTTTAAGCTAAGTAATATCAAAATAATCTATAATTTAGTTTTTGGCTTAGTTTTGACTAGTTTCACAGTTGCAGGTTTCTTTTTGCGTTTGGGCTTCGGTGGATGCGAAGTGTTACAATTCGAATTGTAGCCATATAAATCTTGCAATTCGATGGCAATATTCTTAATCAATTTGGATGAATTTTTTACAATGTCATTATATTTCACCATTTGGACTTTCTTCTTCTTCACTCCTGGTTTGTGAATGAGAAAAGCATTGTCCAATACGTGAAAGTCGTAGTCCATAACACACATCGTGTACGCCTAAAACATTTTATTTAATAATAGTAAAAATTGGACGTAGAGTTTTAATAGTTTTCTTACTTGAACCATTTTGTTACTTTGACCTTCCCAGGTCATTCGTTCATCCCATAAGGGATCTTTTTGAGTGCATACATAGAAGGGTTCCCAAACCACATATCTTCCAGAGCGTTTTCCAACTGAAAATACACTAAGCCCTTCTGTTTCTGGAGTGTTGACCCATTCCTCACTGCTTACAACCTGAGTTGAAAAAAATGTTATTCAACCCTAATCCATTGTTCTCATCACTTACTCTATGGCACTCCACGCACACACTTTCATGGAAGATAATGGCGGTTTTCTTTTTCAGCATGCCCAACAGCTCACTTTTGGTCTCAGGCACAGTTTGATTTTCTAATACTTCAAAAATAGGCAATACAAACACATTTCGACTATCTTCCTCGAATAATTCCTGGTTTTCGTTAACTAATTGCAAAAATAACTTGACAAAATTTCTGGTTGGATACAGTTCAATATCGCTGGGAAATATGAAATAAGTTTGAGCAGCTAACTTAGCTACATTCCGAGCTACATTGATCGGATATAGCAATTCATTTTGGCTTTTGTACATTTCTTCATCTGTGACTGTTTGCCAAGGTGGAAGAAGTGAGCAGTTGTATGAGTCGTCGTAGGAATCAAGCAAAATCGTTCCATTCTAAATAATGAAGTAGATCAATATATCAGAGATTTATGTAAAAGTAAATAAACATACCTTCCGTGGCTTAGGAGTGTGTGCCTGTTCAAACAGTATATGGAAAGTTACTACTTTTTTTATACGTTCTGGTCCACAGTTTCTTAAATAAGCAATTGCGTCCAAGGTAGTGTAAAAATCGTATCCCGGGGCATATAATGCTATACTGATTGGTCCATCCCAACGATCTACCAATGGAATCACATTGTCTAAGAATCTACAAAATAAATATTTGTATGATTTAAAAATGTTAATGTATTTCTACTAAATTAATTCTACTGTATTCTCAAACATTCTTTGATTTGAATACTTTCGTATTAAGTAATTAAATGCAATTTTTAATAGTTAAAAAACTATAATATTTACTTATGATAAAAAGTTTATTTATTGGAAATGTAAGTAAGCTACGCGTGGCCTCTCAACCCTAATATATTAGAAATCCATTTCGCTTTCTCGATATAAGTCATCATGTTTAATTTTTTTATATCACAGCAAGGTTAAAGCATTCTAGCGCACCACCAAAAGTTTAAAATAATCATAATTTATCTGAAACCTTCTCTCAACCCTAGTTAATCCAGATTAATGTAATCATAATAATCAATATAAAAGTTTCTGCTTCTAAGAAATGATAATAATGTTTGAACTTTGTTTTTGTATAAAATAATATATTGTAGTTTTAGTAAGCCAATATTAACTGCCATTTTTATTAGCTCAAGTAATCTCACTTTACAATTTTAGCACGAGAGTTTGAAAATGTTAATCCCAATTTTTGGTACAAAATTTTTAAATCTTGGTCCTAAAATTTTGATAAAAATGTGCTTTCACCAACATATAAACTGTTAGTAGCAATACAATAATTGATTAATATTTTGGGTCTGTGTTTCAGTCTTAAATATTGTACTTTTTTCATTTTATAAAAATAAATTTATGTTTTAATTATTTTCAAGTATATATATAACAACCCGTAGTCCAGAGTTTGCTCGTATCATTGAGCGGCAAAGACATTTATGACATGACTGTTTAAAAGAACCACGCAAAAATTATTGTAAGAAAAAAGAAATACTTTTGGACATAAAGACGTTCCATTTTTTATTTTTTTTATTTTTTAAGTAACTTGGAGCAGATTATGACGCCTAATGTTGACGTGAGAAAATAATATTTGGTCGAAACCGTAGCTAGAAAACAGCTTTCCTTTGGATTTGAGCAACCACATCCCAGTTTAATTTATTTAATTCTTATCAGGTTTTTTCTATTCTTATAAAAAGAATTCAACATCAACCAAAAATAAACCCACAGGAAAAAATATTTTATCAAATATATCCGTTTACCTGTAATCTCCTGGTGCCGATAAAGTGATACTGTCTATACACCCAAATTCCTCTTCAGCTTTCACGAAATTGTAAATAACATAGTACAGTCCTCTCTGAGAAAGAAATGTGTTCCTCGACTTTGTATCGCAATGAAACTGGATTGTTCTTGCATCGTAATCTTGCCATCCATCAGCTAATTTCTCTTCACTATCTGCATTCAAAGTCAATTGTTCATTCTGGCTTTGTAGATTTCCTTCTACCGTTTCTCCGTTTTTTGCTTGCCATGTTCTAAAATGAATCATTTCGTGAGGTAATTTTCTCAACTCATATTTTATATCATTATATCTGAATAAGTGTTACACTAATCCTTCCTCATTTGATAAAATAATTTACTGTTTACCAAAGTCCTTGTTAATTGTTTTACTAATTTATTATTTAATTGACAATTGGCTATGGAAAACAACAGAGTTGTTGAAAATTTACTTATTTATCTATAATTGATCAACAGTTTTAAGTCTTCTCAATACTAATCAAATATGGGATTCGAGGAGATTGACCAACATTGTTGTTTGAAGTTGATTCCTAGCAAAATTGATCTAAGGATTAGTCGACGTTCAGTTTAATCCTTTAATAATATTATGCGCAATCACTTTTATCCACAGTTTTTCATCTTTTAATAGATATGTCTAATTGTTGTAATTAGTTATAAGCCGATAAAACGTATTTGAAATATTCAAGAATTACGTTTTAATCGTGGTTTGTTTACCATAATTGATTTGTATTAAACAAATCGCTTGAAACTGCTTTGACATTGCAATAAGTCTCGGAGTCCGAAAAAGTCTATCAACTTACCTCTGAACAGAACATAAACATAAAATTTAAACTTACAAACACATTAATTAACAATTTTGCACCCCTATTTTATAATAAGATTTAGATTTTAAACACTAAAGTCTCCAAGTTTAAATTTTATCACTTGCGCCCTTTTGTTTAGAACCTTTTTATTTATTATATAAATATGTATAAACCATCTATTCTATAGGAAGCAGGCAGAATGAGTTGCTTGCATATTAATATATATTATGGTTGGAAAATCTACTAATCTCAACTTTTTTGGATAATGCAACAGTTGGTCTGATAGAATCTGCAGTGGGTTTTGAGGATGCCTAATCCTCGTTATTTCTTAGTGCAATCTGCAATCGGCAATTAGAACAGTATTGGCGGATTTGTCAATGAGATTTTTGTCTTGTAGAAGTTTCTTGAATAGTAGGGATATGTTGAAGAACAAATTTGAAAGGCTGTTGTATGGGCTACTTCTAGTTATCGGCTCTCAAGTAGGATTCCAATTATCAAAATTAAATGTTGTAGAGGTTCAAGTAGGATTGGAAGTCATCAAGATTCAGGTTGATTCGAACACATGTAGATAAGAACGTGGCAAACTGCTCCCAACAGATACTTAGTACAATTTTATTGATTAATTTAATCTTAATTTAATAATTAAGTTTCCTTTTTAAAAACAATTTATTTACAAAATTAATACAAACAATACAGGTTTCATGTGTTACCAAACCTGACATGATTATTAAATCGTATATCGAAGACTCAATTCTTAGGACTTATGACCAAACATGGCTTCTTTTATAGTTAAATAATGATGATCCTAGCAGAAACGATACTACGTCTTATTTTAAAGTAATAGTCGGCATAAGTGACCATATAATTGTACTCAGTACATCCGTAAATACTATTGTTTATGTATACATTTAAAGTTATTTTCAACAATTTATGATTCGATTTTATGCGTAGCGTAGTACTCAACATTTGTACTTGAGTTATGTTTTTACTATGGAGATGGAGCGTGTGCAGAGATAAGCTATAAATACTTCATAGTATAAGGGGTGTTTTCAAGTTTAGCAATCTGAAAACATGTTACTTAATAGTAGTTAACAAGTTTAAAATACTTGCAGCATTTCCGATTGCCTGTAAAAAGAATTTTTATATTTATGATATGCATTGTTTTCGTTAATTCTCCGCTCCATTCATGTTCCTATTATTTTATAATATATTATGTTAGCTAATAATTTAAGAATTGTAGAGCTTTTTCAATTACGAAGGTTTTTATTTATGATACTGACTTTTTTAATATCTGTTCGAAATAATCACTAATCGCAATTCATATGTCGTATAAAGTTGTACCTATTTACTGAAATATGCCAAGGAATTTTCGATAACCATTGTATTAACCACAAAGCATTTGTTTTATATTTCATTTTAGGTATTATACGACTGACGTCGCAGCAATTAGTACTATTTCCATTATCTTTCAATTTTCCAAATACTTCCGATAAAGCTTTTAATCCTATTATCACCCGATTTTAAAGAAAATAAATATGTATAAAATTGTGGAAATTTTAACTTACTGATAATATCTTGAATTTAGTTTGAAAAATATAACATGTAGAATAAGATGAAAACAAAGTCGAACGATCATGAAAAGTTTTGAAGTCAATACTATATATTTAGAAATACTTGTAGATAGTAAATAAATAAACGTGTCAAATTTTATAAAACTTAAATCTATTTAAAACCTTTAAATTTATTAATTTTTTATTTAAGAAATATTAAAAATGCAAGTGTAAAAAAGTAGGTAGACATATGCGGAGTATCCCTAAGGTTTTGAGCAAAGAATATAAATTTCGCTAAAGTATAGCAACATGAATTGATATATAAGGTAAAAAAGCACAAAAAGCATATTAATCTATTAAAGATTAATAATCTCATAGAAATCGAAAGCTCACATTCGCGTGTATTTTGTGAAGGAAACCTTCAAGATTCAAGTCTTGGAACTGGCGATAAATTGATTTTTCAAAAAATTAAGATTAAGTACTTTCACTGCACATTTATCTACAAGTATACTATCTATATTTTAAGGTGCAAATAATAAAATTAATCGTATCACCAGACACATTTGATGAGCGTAAAATCCTGCTTTATGCACAAAATTATTTGTTATCTTTCAATCGAAAATCCCCCACATTATGACTTAGTCTGCAATGCTTTCAAACCTAATGCTAAGAAGACCATTACTATTTACCACCTATTACTATTTAGTCCAGTCTTCAAATTTACTCTCATGTGCTTTAGCGATTTTTTTTACTGCTACGGTTAATTTAGAAGCTTGTGAAAGATTTGAATGAAATTTGAAATTCTAGTTTAATGATTGATTGAAATATCATTCCTGCAGAATTTCGCGCTTTAATATCTATTTTTTTAAATTATTGTACGCGAATCTTGCCGTTTGTGCATGAGTGGATTGTTGCTCTTTCACAAAGATAAATCTACTGAACATAGACTTAAAAGTAAGTGTTCTTTAGCTTCACATTGAAAGCCCAAGGGATAGTGGAAATTGTCAATTTTCACCCATCACTTTATAAACCTTCATGATCTTTAACTTAACAAAGACCGAATATGTAGGAATATTTTTTAAATTTTCTTCAAAACCGTTTCTTATTAATCTTGACTGCTTATCTATCATCGCGTTCTATTTGTAATGGTACACACTTTCTTGTTAGGATTTTAGGTACTGCAAAAAATATATTTATTTCTATTTTAATGTGCATTGCTACTGTATGTGTTGTTTTTCGCCGTTGTCAATCACCTTGTGCGATATTAACAAGAAGCAAATTATATTGAACAAGACTGATTTTGCTACGTAGGTACTTACTAAACTATTTACTCGCTAATTAGCGTCTTAAAGTTTTATACATTTCAGGGACATTATTACGAAACAAAGCAATAAAATATATAAATTTCTTAAACATCACAAACACTTTGAAATATCTGAAATAAATTATAGGTTGTTTCCACTGTTACCTACTCACTTGCAAATCTCATCAAAAGGGTAATCGTTTCTGGATAAAATTTCGCAATCACTGTTATTACTTGAATTCCTAGGAAATGCTAAAAAATATATACTAGTCACAACACATCCCAAAATCACAAAGTAACAATTGCCACTATCACGCAACCGTGGTAGTCCCATGTTGATTGAGAAAAACCATCATATAAAATGTTAATTGAAAATGTATAGTTAGTTTTCGATACCGTGAGCGATCTATAATCCTTTTGTTAAGATAAGGTAATCTTCTGGGACTAAATCCAGATATTTGTTGAAAAATACTCTATATAAAATACCGAGTGAGTTCTTAAATGGCCTAACCGCGGATTCGCCAATGAAACATATTGTTGAAACGGGAGGCACTTGCTAGTGATATTGACACTACTTACTTACTATTATTTATTGGCGCACAATTTTGAAAATCAAAAGAGTACGTAATGATTAAATACTAGATTTATGCATCGCTATATAACAAGATAAGACACAAGATAAGGCAAAGGAACGATAATTAACGTATCTCGGCTTAATTTTTACGGAACGGAGAACAGAAAATGTGACAGCATGAAGTCGATTAGAACTACTTAAAAACTTTTTATAGGCAGTTATTTAGATAATGATATTTGTATTGCAGCTCGATGTAAACAAAGAGACTTAAAATTTGTTTGTAATTGATCAAAAAGAAATGCAGGCTATCTTCTAAAGGTTGACTGGTATTTACTGCTGATCGCAAAAATGTTTAACTTTCATATAATGTAGCTCAAAACGTTTTTCTACGTCTGTTTCTTATTATGTTTTTAGGAGTTCTTGAAATTTAATTAAGCATATATATCTAGGCTACGAGTATTCTCAACTGCCCATTTCTTCTTAGTAAAGAGTACGTTTATGTCCAAGCTGTCGCTTCAGAAGCAAAAGGAAAACATTAGTAAAGCATTATTTTTTAGATTGATATTAAAATGGTGGAAGTAAAACATCAGTTCATTTTTATGGAAGTTGAACTTGCACTGGCTATTCGGGTTCTAATTTCGGCCCTCCATTCTTACTTGCTACACTCATAAACACTTACATACTTTGCTTTCCTTGTGTTAAATGTTTGACCGTAGTTTTGGTAGTTAATTGTGTCTTGGAGGTTGCAAGAAAACACATATCGTCCGCCTGTCGGTTGTTAAAAAATCTTTTCCATCCCCAAACCTTTCTGTGCAAATATGAATAAAAAAATAATAACGATAAAATCTCTATCGCCTTTCTTAAAAATTGAAGATTTTTGTTGCTGTTGGATCTCTATTTTGTTCTCAACGAAAAATAAAAAGAAAGAATTAGGTGACGAAATGTTTAAATGTTTAATTTCGTAATATTTGGCAAAGCTATCGTACTTACATGAGGAGGAACAAATCTGACCACCTTTTTTCACAAGCCGAGGGAAACATGAGTTGGAAGCGCATTTTGTAACTTTCTAAGCATACGGGGGAGTTAAAGTGACCCACTTAAACTAAATTTAAAAAAATCCCTTTACATTTAGCCAATCGCTACTGACTTGATATGCCCAATGCCCACATCCGAAAGCATTAGTCATTTTCATACCGACTTGAACGAAGAGGCCGCGCTATTAAAAATGTTGATTACTCTCGGACTCGGACTCTTCTTCAGCTTCCCTTTGTTTGTACGAATTAATGAAGATAATATTAAGAATGTACCAAACAAAACTTGATCGATAATCACTTGAAAAGCTTGCTCCAAATGAAAACTGCAGCTATCTCAAAATAGAAAGTGGAATCAAACAGCATAAAATGTTGAATTGCAATTAACTTCTCAATAAATTACGTGTTTTGAGTAATTTGTCGCTTTATTGTTATGATGTTTAATCTACAGTATTTGCTTGCGCAATAGTTTTTTAACTTTTGATGTCCCATTTTATTGAACCATGTGACCTTAATGTGGGCCTTGGGAAGTATTTAACTCCATAAAATTACACTCAAAAAACAAAAGCTTATAACTTAGAGTTTCTCACGTTTCTGACTGATAGGTATTGAGTTTTTTCAATCAGCTGCTGGGTAATCCGACTTATCTTTAACAGTCGATCTGCTTTTTGCATATTTGATAATAATTGGGACTATGCGATTCGAGTTTCTAAAACTATACATAATAAATTTGATATTGGTTATTGTCATTGTTCGTCATGGAAAAATCAAGCAGTAAAGTTTTAAATAAACCATTCTCGTCATTTTTGCTGGATAATAATAATAATTAGTTAATAATTGATAACTAATTAGTAATTGTATCGTCATTTTTGAGGTATTATTTCCAGCACAATTTACGATATCAAGAAACTAATAATGGTCTTATCAAATTTGCTTAACACCTGTTAAGTGAATGACGAGTTATTATAATAAACAAATTAAAAAATACTGAGTTTCACTCTTTAAATTAACAGAATCATCACAACATTTTGCAAAAATGCAGGATTCCGTCGAGAAGCCGATGTATGATCGCTCTAGATAATCTCATGAAATCAAAAAGTCTTCAAGAACAAGAACATCAAAAGTGAAATCTGCAAAACAATTGTCCGACCATGACAAAAGAGAACGAAGAAAAGATTTTGAAAAAATTTTTCGCTCCAAACCACGACACTACCAGGAATGAATGTAGAATGAGAACAAATGCCGAAATTAGGAGATGGGGATGTGCTACAAGAAATCAAGATATAATCAAAAGGTAAATACCTCAGATAAAGTTCTATAAAAATAATATGAAAAGTTCGAGCCCAGCCTGAATTATTTTAAGAGGAACTTTTGCAGTGAAAAATCTTGAGTTGCCAGAGCAATGAGATTAAGTTTTAACGCGAGTTATAGAAAAATGTTTCAAGTTTTTTTCTACTGTTTCTATTGAATGAATGAATTTGTTCAATAACGTACATAATCATAGTAAGCAAATAACTATAGCCAAATATTATTTAAATAAAAATCAAAAGAATATTAATAGAACAAGAACCCTACCTAATGAATCATCAAACCACCTTGCAGCTTAACTAGTTTAACTCTCAACAACTTTGTTATGAAAATCTTCATGCCATTATTTTTTCATATTTTAATATAGCCGGAAGTTTAGGGTTTTTGTTATTAATCGGTAATACCTATAAATAAAGCACAATATTTCTTTCTTATTACTACACTAATTTATTAGCAACGTATTCATAAAAACTACGAAATAAATATTGCATTATAAATAACATTAACTTAAACAATATATTTAATAATTTCTTTAAATAAATAAAAGCATCACAATGAATTACATTCTCTTAACAAGTGTTTAACGTAATGAGTGCACTTCACTTATTTGCATTCACCCAATTTCGAACTAAATATAAATTATTATAATAAATATAACTAGTTGAACAGTTTCAGCTCAATTAAACCCTTACAAAGTGTTTGTATGTATCACCAAAGTAGTATTGAAATTTGTAAAAATATTCGTGGAAAGTGAGTTTGGAAATGAAATAGCTGAAGGAAAGGCACATACTAGTGGACATCTTCCAAAATCTTTTCGCAAAATGAAGTCACTAAAAATGGCTTAACGAATTTCTTATTTGCTGGCACATACTGAACACGCTGTTTAACAATAATGAAAGCTTGTCTATCATGATAAAAAAAACGTTTATAAGTCAAAATATGTATTCCGAAGCTGTTCTACTAAAAAGTTAATGCAAGTTCCATGTATCAAACAGCAATTATCGTCAGTACGTATTCTAGCACTACACTTCTTTGGTTTGATTTTTTATAAAAGTGAGAACGAGATCCATAAGTAAAATATGTTCCTTAAAGAATAGTCAAAACTTTTACATTCAAATTAAAAATAAAATCTAAATACAAACAATTTCATACATTAATACACATTAATTTTAATTTATACGTGACTATTAAATATTAAATGATTTCTGAGCAAGGCATTTGCCTCTTTTGTCTATTAGTTCGACTATTTTTATTGTTTCCTAAAATTGATTTCTTAAACGCCCTTTCCAACAAAATATTGGTACAATTATGCAGACGCTTACCAGAAAAGCTTGAATTCAGCGAAGGCAAACATTTTCCACATGCAATTATTTAATCAAGCAAATCAAATAATTGTACATTACGTTTTTTTTACGATTTCAAATGGGACCTTCGATTTTTTTTTCATTACAGTCTTATACGTTATGCTGCAATTCGAACTGTATCCATACAATTCCTGCAATTCTATGCTTATGTTCTTAATAAGACGATTAGACCATCGAACCGCATCTTGGAATTTGACCAATTGAACTTTTTTCTTCTTCACACCTGGTTTGTGTATTAGAAAAGCGTTGTCCAAGACGTGGAAGTCATAATCCATTACACACATTGTGTAAGCCTGAAAAATGTGTCATTTCTTAAAACATATAATTAATAATAACTTTGCAATTAGTGTTGCAACAGGCGTGTTATATCCTAACTCGATATATTGAGAATAGTAGTTTCCAAATCTGATATTATCAAAATATATGTTCTTACCTGTATCATTTTATTATTTTGCCCTTCCCAAGTCATGCGTTCGTCCCACAAAGGTTCCTTTTGGGTGCAAACAAAAAACGGTTCCCAAACCATATATCTCCCTGTTCTTTTTCCTACTGAAAATACTCCTAAACCTTCAGTTTCATTGGATCTTACCCATTTTTCGCTTTCCACTACCTGCAAAGGAGGGCAATTGACTTACGATCACGACCAGCAAGTATGCGATATTTGTGAGAATCTTCACATGAAAGAAAGCGTTCATCATAGTGAAGGGAAATTGATTTGGTGATAGAGATAATTAAATAGGAATGTCAGAATGAAGAACTAAATTGTAATATCATCAAAGAAAAAACGATGTTGCCGATAGAACATTAATAGAATCAAAAATTATAAAACGTTGAGCATTTGCAAAGAGCGTAGTTTAGAGACAATATAAACAATTTCGTTGTTAGTTAACTTAGTAAAATAGTTTAGTTTTTAATTCATTAATGTTGATTTTTGACAAAACCTTCATTAGAATCGCGGAAATTATTCGACACTTATATTTGTTGATAAAACGAAAACGTAGCGATGTTATTTTGCAAAGACTTACTTTAACTTACCCTATGACACACGATGCAGACAGACTGATGAAAAATGATGGCTGTTTTTTTCTTCAACATTCTCAGCAACTCAGTTTTATTTTCAGGAACATGTTGGTTCTCCATGACCTCAAATATTGGCAGCACAAAGACATTTTTATTTCCTGTTCGAAATAGATCCATGTTTTCTTGGACAAAGTTTAAAAAAAGCGAGATAAAATTTCTCGTCGGATACAATTCAATGTCACTGGGGAAAACGAAGTAGGTTTGAGCTGCTAGTTTAGCGACATTTCGCACAACATTAATTGGATACAATAATTCGTGTTTTGTCTTGTACATATCGGTATCGTGCACTTCCTGCCATGGCGGTGGCATTGAACAATCATATTCATCTTTGTAAGCATCTATAAGTCTTGTTCGGTTCTGAAAATAAAACATCAACATTTCCATTGTGCAGTAACTGAAGAAGAAAGACTCTAGTAGAACATTCCAATAAGATGAGGAAGTTGTTAGTGCTTACCTTGCTTTTCGGCATTTGATCTTCCTCAAACACAATATGAAAACTTACTAATTCTCGTATAAGTTCGGACTTGCAATTTCGCAAATAAGCAATTGCATCTATGGTAGGAAATAAATCTCTTCCTGGAGCATATAGGGCTATGCTGATTGGACCTCTCCAACGATCCACTAAAGGAATAATATTGTCCAGAAATCTAAAAATTCCATAAAGTCCATGCTCAAAAATAATCAATAATTTTTCAAGTTCTTGCTGAATGGTGTTGCATAGAATCACAAATGATGCTGTTAATATACCTATTCAAATGTGGGATTTTCAAAAATTTTAATTTTCATTAATAAATGACGTGTGTGTATTAAATTTAATAAAAAAATCACTTTGTATTTCAAATGCTCCTGCTGTTGCTTCTGATTTTCCAGCAACATTTTCGTTAATTTTTAACTCAACTGAAAGAAATGATAGTTTGCTGAATATTGGAAAAACTCCCGCAGACACGGATTGTTTGAAGAACTTGATGACACTTTCATAAATACTTAAAGTAAAATTTATCGATTATGGTAAATTTGAGGGAAAATGATCCGGAGCTATAAATATTTAATAGATTTGTGGGAAAATTTAAAATGACCACAATATCAATTACAACTTTATAATAATGATTTTTTTATTTATTGCGCTCTGGAAAAATGGGATGAACAGGTAAAAGATTAAGATTTCAGTTAAGACTCCACAAAGCAAATGCTTCTGTATTCGAATATAATGCAAACATATATGTCTTCCTGTGGCTAGGATGGAGAAGCGTAGAAAAACATACCATAAAATTGAAAAGATGTTACAATTAACAAGGTAATAAAATAGTAATTATTATAAGTCATACAATGATAATAAAAGGACCTCATCATCACGGTCGAGAAATAAATGAAACCAAACAAAAATATCTTATCATCGTCTTTACTTTCTTTGATCGACCTAAAATAATAAAACAAGTACTCATCCTTATCATGTCTCGAATTGCGTTGTGAGAAACTAAGAATCAATATTAACTGTGTTAAAAATAGTTTCCAAGCAAAATTATATATTTTTATGATGAAACTAACAAGAAACAACTTACAACTTGGCCAATCAAGTTAAAGTTTAATAAAAGAATCAGAAGATCAATCAAAGATTAAATAAATAATAAAAAGGGAATATTCGAACATTCAAAAAGTCCAAGGCGAATTAAAAGACCAATCGAGGCACACAATCCAATAAAAATTCCAGCTGGCTATGAAAATTTAAGGAGTAAATTTAAATGTATGCATGTTTCTGAAAAAGTAAATGATGTCCAAAAAATGCGGGCTAAATAATATTTGGTGACAAATAATTTACTAACAGTAAAACAACAAACACGAAAATACAAAACCACAAATATTATCAAATTGACTGTTTAAATAAATAAAATTAATAATTAAACTGACAAAAAAGTAATTCGAAGAACTGGAGCTGTGCATCAATAAATACGGTTTGTTCAATTTACAAAACAAGCTAAAATCAAAAGCAAACCACTAACCTCAGAGATAAGTTTGGAAATATAATTTAAAGATGTATATAACAAAAATGTAATAGAAAATTGGCAAAGGAAAAGGAAAAATATTCAGATCCAAATTTTGTGACGATTTCAAGAATCAGCTCTAAGCATTAAACACTATTGAAACTGAACCCCCAATAACATGAAAAAGTAAGTAAAGCGCGATTACAACCAAAAATAATGATAAAAATTGGCATCAAGACATTCACAAAACTTTACATTATGATGCATAAGTCTGAAAAAAAGCATTCAATAGATGCTGCAGATGCAGAAAAAACCGAAGACAGTTGCACACAAGTAACCAAAATTTAATACCTTTCTAGAATCCCTAGAAAATATTATTAATAATAAGTGCGAGTGTCTAAATTAAGGCTCAGAATGTAACCGAGAATCGAAATGTATAAGTTAACAAATGAGAAAATACTTCGACTACTCAGTAACTAAGAAATTATTGAACGCTTTAAAGCGCACGTTGCAGTGCAGTGAATTTATAATTGTAATAGTTAATTTATAAATTCTGGGAATCTCGTCCTAATTGGGAAATTTGTGTTTAAGACACAATTCTACGTCAGCACAAAAACAATCCAAAACACATGTCACGGTACACAAATTAATTTTTTTTAGTCACATGTTAAAATTTTGTCGAATTTAAAATATCGAAATAAAATTTCTGTTCTCTTCTTGGTGAGAGATAATGTCGACTTGCGAATGCGAGTGATGTTTTCTAATATATTTGTTACTTCTTTTAGTATAAATAATTCACCAGTTGTTCATCTATTTTTGCAAAGATCTTGTTCCTCATTTAAACCAGTATTAGAAGTCAAGGTCCTGTTCTTCAATTATCGAATTGAATTTTTTTTTTGGAGACAAAGATGATGAATATTATTTGAAGTTCACAAAATGTTGTTGATAATAATTTCTAAATCGCTAAAAAGCGAGTCCACCCCAAGCTAAAGTAGCTGGTTTCGTTCATGCACATTCTCAGTTTTAAAATTTTCGGTTTCTCTATCGTAGATTGTCGTCAATGAAATTGAAAAAAAAATGTGAATCAAGATTTGTTTCTAAATCACTTCAAAACTGATCATATTTCCAGCTTCAAAGCGATTATTACTAGACATCAATTATGTCCTTTCAATCCAATTGTATCTTGAACAACAGTATCATGTACTTCAGATTATATGTTGCCCCACTATCTTCGTCAATGAGGACGTTTTTTCTTTAAAAATATCTAATAGATCTAGTGTTTTCTGTTAGTTTTGTAAAACTAAACAAACAATACTTCCAGATAGCCACATTGATTAGAAAGTATCGCAATTACTAAGGAAGGCAGAGCAGAGGAACGGAAGATCGAATATCAGCCATCATTAAAAAAGAAGACAAAAATGTTTCTCCAAACTCCAGAGGAATATGCATACCTATTATAGAATAGGTTTTGTTAATAATGAGAGAATATATTGGAAGTAAGTAAAATCAGAAACGAGAAGGATTAATAATAAAAAGAATCAGAAGAAAAAGCTGGCTTACGCATAGGTGGATGTACAATTGATCATAGATTTTTCGCCAACACAAGTGATAGAGGCGCACGAAAAAAAGCGCTGGATAAAAAACAAATAATTTCTTGATCTGCCAAAGGCTTACAATAAGACACCTCTAAATAAGGTTTGGTAAGCAGTTGAGACAAGCGTTAACGTAGAGGTATAAAAGAGGTTAAATCCGTGTACAAAGATGCTGAAATTAAAATGAAATGTAAAACAATATTTTACATAAAAAAATCGTTGTCTTCTTTCTATATTATTCAAAATGTACCTATCTAGAATGTGGTTTTCCCGCAAAGAACAGACAAAATCTGAGATTATCAATGAACGGGAAACATGGTACTCCCGTAAATCATACTCGCTGTGCTTTGCGTATAATCTACAAAACTAGAAATTTAATCGAAGAATATTAAAAATTGGGCTTACAGTTGATCAATAGTAAAATAGATTTTATCTTTATTCATTGCAAGCAAATAACCAGAATTTGCCTTAAAATAAATAATTATAAAGCACAAGCATATCTCAAGATGGGTTATTAGATCAAGCAATCAAAGAAGGGAACACTAATGGAGTAAAAACACATGGTTGAATAACTAATATCCTATGGGAGAAAAATATAAATAAATATAATAAAAAATAATATACAATACCCTGGCCAATCAAAAGAACAGCACAGTTAGGCTTCTGAAGAAGAGCAAGAAGATGGTCAAGGATAGAGAAAAAATATATTAGATTGGAGCGAAACACAGAATATACAACTGATATGGTTTGCACACAAAGTATGCCCGAATAATTCCAAAACAGATCTTGGAATGAACCGTGCAGAGAAATGATAACGACAAACCAAGAAAAAGATGACATAGTATTCAAGTAAATATTGCAGGACGAGGTTTAGACGAAAACTCTCAAACAATATTGGAATCCGATATGCGAAAAAGCTGTTCTCTGGGTCAAGCATACCAAAATTCAAGCGTTATTAGTAGAAGAAGAATGCCAAAACTCATGATTCGTATCTCTTTCCATGCAAGAAACATTATATTGGATTAGATTGTCACGTTTTATGGATTCCAAGAGGATCATCGATTTTCATTGTTGTCTGAATAAGTCTGCATGAGGTTTGCTAATATTTGATCAATTGTGGTATAAACATTTGAACAATAACAATATTACTTATCTCAACGATAGCGTGCACATTCTCTTCATAATCTTTAATAAACTAATGACGTAGATTGAATCAACAGTAAATCTAAATTATAAAACTCTTACTGGCAAAAAACAATAAAACAATTGTAGCTCTTTGGAAACATGATGATTAAAGATTAATGACGGCCGTCATTTTCCGAGAAAATTAATCTCCAAAATAATGCGCTCTAAAAGCAATCACAGTTCTTTGATTTACACAGCACTTAAACTGTCTAATGTTATTTGGCTTTGCTGAATAGAACAAAAACTGAAACAATTTTGGGGCTCACGTGTCTTAGTTGATTACACTGTTTTTTTTTATTAGGACAAGTGGTAAACATGCTTCAATGCGACAGAAAAAAAACTTATGCAAACTTTTGTTACATGTAAATAATTATTTTATACGGTTTTACTTTATTAGTATTTAGGGTGCATGTCTTCAATAAATGTGTAAATAAATTTTTCCAAAGTTTCATTACCCAGGCAAAATCTTTTTTTACTCAGTATTTCATATTCTTACTCACCTGTAATCGCCAGGAGCAGACAAAGTTATACTTTCGGTGCATTTAAACTTCGTTTCCGCTTGAACGAAGTTATAAATGGCATAATATTTTCCCCTTTGCTGTACAACTTTTTCACTATAACTAGTATCACAGGAAAATTCAGAGCTTAAGTCTAAACTCTCTTCTGAAGCCTCGTATAAAGCCAAATTTACAGCTTTTTTGTGAGTGGATGATCCTATCACATTTCCCGAGCTAGAGCCGCTCCCTGCTAATTTCACTTGCTGTTCTTGCCAATCACTAACAAAAAAAAAATGGAAAATTAGCAAAAAACGACAGAAATTTTAAAATCTGTAAATTTTTCTGATTAAGTAAAGCTCGATTCTACTAGTCAGAAGTCAAAATCTAATGATTTAAAGTTATTTTCTTTTAAATTTATTTTTTTAATTGATAGTTTTGTATATATAATAACAATTTTTTCAGCTATCGAAACAATAAAGCAATATAAAAGGCTTATTAAACTCATAAACGTAACAATAATTAATGCACCCAATAAAATATTTAATAATCTACCAATTAGATAAACTTCTGATTCTCACGAATATTTAAGTCCATTCATGGAAATTTATTGGAATTTTTATTACGAGTATTAATTAAATTGGAAATTCCTCAAAGTATTTATCACATCTGTTCGTCCAGTTTTTACAGAAATTTAAACCGATTTTCCTAAAACTTCTTCTAGTATTTACCTAATTCGAACTGTCAGCTTGCAAAATATTAATATTTTTAATTCTATTATCTCACACATAATATGAAAGTGGATAAATGCTTTAGAAAACAATTATTGATAATTTAAATTTATAAATTCATTTTCTGGCCTCTTGAAAATTCCTGATGGAACTTGATTTGCGACAAGATCCTTCTTTTTACTCCAAGCCCAAAAAAATTCAGAGATGTAAGCCAGGAAACCGTGAAGGTCAATCTTCAACTAACGATAAACTCATACGATAAAAATTATTATTTTTTACACATTTACTCCTTTTTCAAAGCATCAGCATCCTTGTATTGAGTGTTGAATGTTGAATATTGAATGTATTAAAGTCAATCGTGCTTTAGCTGAGTTTTGATTCAGTCAAATTAAATTTCTGTCGATGACATCGCTTTTTACCTATATATCTTTTTATTGAAGCACCTGAAAATATACCCACTTCGTGACGAGAAATTCCACAATACAACATAAAGTGTTTCTTAAAATAGCTACAACCTCTTAAAGAATCGGCTTGAAAATTGTTTTTATGTGATTATGTTTATTGCCTGATAAAAATGAGTTACAGTTTCCTAAAGATAAAACCTTTTTCAGGAGTTAACGCACAGCGTATATTTTTTCATTTCGTATTCTACTTTAAATATGTTATAATTCTTTGAAAAACCAATATTTCATACCAGTTTCTTTGCGAGTAAACAATGTTTCTCATAAGCGTGTGTGCAAAACTTTACGAAAATTTTCGATGCAGATCTAGTTATTCCAAAGTAAACTTTGACGGACCAAGATATTTTTTAAACAGGAATTGTGCGACTCGCAATATTATTTTTAGTTATTAATTAAACGAGTAACTAGTAAATTTTATTAGACCAAACCAAGCGCCGAAAAGAGGCAAAAACTTTTCATAACAGAATTTAGCTCCATAAATGCTTCATTAAAAAGGTTTTCGCGATATTTTGTCCCTTTTTCGATAAGAATCGTACTGAAAAAACTTTGAGGCCTGTAAAAGAGGTAAAGTCATATAATTGTATATACCATAAAATTTCTTTCAGGACGTTTCATTGAATTGAGGAACACTCTATCTATCCCCATAATATTCTCTCATCTCTCTATCTATCCCCATATATCTGTCTCATGGTACATTTGATACTTTTCATCTAATCGGCGGTCTAAAGCTAGATGAGATTTCAATACTATTCAACTTTTTTGCACAAAAACGCATTTAACCGGTTCAAAGGACTAAGGGATTGTTTGTTTTAACGCCTATATGTTAAGTAAGTATTCTTTGAAAACATATTCTGTGCAGAAAGCAGATAATGATAGGAAACTGAATATAGAATCAAACAAAAAATTAACAATTTTAAAAGCGCGCGGGAGCAACGTTCCATAAAACATATATGGTGTTAAGAAAACTAATTTAAAAATAAACCATATGAGTCTAGCGTCGGGAGTTATAAAAAGCTGCAAATAATATTTCGATTGAAATATTCAAAACAGATCTTTCTTTCTTTGAAAGCAATTAAGACTTACTTTCAGTAACAGTTCCTGTGAAACTCACTCACCTACAAGCTTGTACGAACTCAGAGTTCCGTTCAAGCGATTTCTCATATCCGTCAGTAACAGATGTAAATGCGGTTAAATCATGCAAAACTACGAAATAAAAAGCGGTCACAACACATCCTAGAATAACATAGAATAAACCGGAAACATCGCGCACTTTCCGCAATACACCCATGTTGTTATTTCGGCAAAATAATTCTACAGACGGCCTGGAGGAGATAATTGTTCGCACCTTGCGTAGATGCCAATCTCTGCTGTGTTAGATAAGTTAATCTCTTAATTACATTGTCAATTCTGCTATTGTTTTACCACATTTTGATACGGACTGATCAAAATTAGGCACGTGATAAATCTGAAACAAGAGATAAATAATTGTCATTAATAGCATCAGAATAGGGAATACAGTAATTAGTGACACGAAAAAAATAGGGATTAGAACGTACTAATAAAGAGCATAAAGTAGAAAAACTGCTCTACGGGGCTCAAGTAAAATATTTCGAAAATACTCTCAATTTTCTTAAGAAAGCCATATAGCCTTTTGATCTAAATTAAATTAAACAAAATTACATGAGCAATTTGAAACGATACTGTCAACTTTTTACACTTAATTCGCTTAAAAATAATTAATTGAAATCAAAAAGGCAAATAGTATTATAGCATCCACTGTTTTTACTGATAACAATATTAAGCAGCCAATTGTTGATGAGAACGAAATGAAATACAATAGACTAAAGTAAGTCTACGTACATTTGAAGGATTCAAATAATAATAGACAAATATAAAGATAACTTAATTTAAAATAAAAATTAACATTCTAAGACTTAGAGTGAACTGAAACCACGAGCTTAAGCACTTTATGATAATTAGGTATGTGATGCACTAAAGATTAAAGAATATGAAAATTTGTCGTTCAATATTGAAAATTTACATTGACAAAGGCGATAAAACATTTGATCACTTGAATCGTTTTTTTTTAATTCATTATAAAAATATGTAAGTTTTAGTTTCGAGCCTATTAGCTCTCCTCAGCTCAGTCTAGCCTGAAAATAACACTCCCAGCATTCTCCAACAATGCATTTTATTGACAAAATAAAGTGCAGGTTTTTGTGGTTTATTTTCGGGTGTAACACTGCTGATGAGAGCTACTAGGTTTTAACCCCTGATATTAAAACATCTAAAAATACTAACTACTTTTACCATATAGGTAGATGGTTTCAACTTCAAATATAAATAGTTCAAATTGGAAAATGGAAATTTTATACTTGTCGAGTAGACTTATTTTATTTTACCCAGTGGCATTTTTATGCTCGAGTGAAACAACGTACTAAAAAAAGACTATTTGTCTCTGATTCAATGTTGATTAGTAATTTACATGCTTTGTTGACATTGAGAAATAAATAGGTAACTGTTTTGTGTTTCGAGCGTTTAAGTTTCAAAAATTAATACGCACACTAAAAATGTTTGCAAATGAGTTTTTACTTTTTCTAAGGGATTGACAGTTTCGTAATGATTTGATTGATGATCAAAATGAAAAAAATACTTTCATTTAACTAACAATGCGTCATTAAAGTTATAAGGAAAACTTTCAAAAATTTGTATTTTTAAAATCATGTTTAGATGAAAAAATACACCAAATTAAAAATGCTTTTTTCAAAAACAATTTTATTATAACTGCTATTAAAATCATTCGGTTATTGAAAATAATTTGACCCTTGTTTAACTGTTTTCAATATTCAGAGAAAACTAACAAAATACTTTTTTATCATTGTGTTTAAGCTAAAGTATTTGAGAATACAAAATGTAAAAAAGCTCATTACACAGCAGAATTAATATTTCATATATTCACAGATTTTTTACAATTTGACAGGATGTTCCATTCCATTTGAAATAATAAGATATTCATTCCTTAAAGAACTACAGAAAATAGTTTTTATAACATATTCTGAAAAAATGCCATCGCTTCAGTGTTTGAATTGCTCTTGATATTATTTAGGCAAACAGATATAGGTACCTTCAGGACAATAGAAAAACGTACTCATTCGGTGTAGCCTTTTTGAAGCTTACAACAATCGCATAATTTTTGGAAATACTAATAAACCTAAAACCATACTCTTCAATTCGAGGAAATATTTATGGCCGGCATTAATGAGTACAGCTGAATATATTGTAAAACTGACAAATAGCAGTTGACACGATTTAAACTGGAAGTATTACAACTTATAAATAAGCATACTCTGACCGCATTGAAAAAAACGTTTCAAAAGATTTAATGATAATTGTTACAGTAAAGAAACTGTGCGCATTAAGCAAGTATGTTAAGACTATAGACTTAAAAACACTTTAAAGATAAGACCATATCAAATTCAAAATATTTCCTGAAATAAAACGAGTTTTGATAAATTTAAAATACAAGGCAGATTTACATCCACATTCAGTTTAATGGATAATACACATTATATTTGCCTTGTATGCTCTGTATTGTGGAATTTGTCGCATTGGATATTTTCTTCAACGATTCTTAGAGATGAGAGTTACGGTTCCTTAATTTATGATTTTTTTAGTGGAAAATGCAAATTAAGTTAATTTAACTAGGCGAATCTGGTCGGGAAGTCTTTAAGTTTCAAATGCTTCGCTAGGCTGATTTCAGTTTCTATTTGTTGGATTTAGTGAGGATCGAAAGATCAAGCAGAAAAAACTAAAAGAACCTTAGCAAATGAATGTTTCCCAAAATTTAAACCTAGGATTGACAAGTTAGATACGCCTAATGTAATTTACAAAATAGACTGTTTGAATTGTGATAACACATACATAGGTCAAACAGGACAATATCTAAAGAAAAGAATATACGAACAT